ATATAGTTCAATGCTACTTATTACTTCAAAGTCTAGATGTCTCTTCTAGTAGTAGATATATAGTTCAATGCTACTTATTACTTCAAAGTCTAGATGTCTCTTCTAGTAGTAGATATATAGTTCAATGCTACTTATTACTTCAAAGTCTAGATGTCTCTTCTAGTAGTAGATATATAGTTCAATGCTACTTATTACTTCAAAGTCTAGATGTCTCTTCTAGTAGTAGATATATAGTTCAATGCTACTTATTACTTCAAAGTCTAGATGTCTCTTCTAGTAGTAGATATATAGTTCAATGCTACTTATTACTTCAAAGTCTAGATGTCTCTTCTAGTAGTAGATATATAGTTCAATGCTACTTATTACTTCAAAGTCTAGATGTCTCTTCTAGTAGTAGATATATAGTTCAATGCTACTTATTACTTCAAAGTCTAGATGTCTCTTCTAGTAGTAGATATATAGTTCAATGCTACTTATTACTTCAAAGTCTAGATGTCTCTTCTAGTAGTAGATATATAGTTCAATGCTACTTATTACTTCAAAGTCTAGATGTCTCTTCTAGTAGTAGATATATAGTTCAATGCTACTTATTACTTCAAAGTCTAGATGTCTCTTCTAGTAGTAGATATATAGTTCAATGCTACTTATTACTTCAAAGTCTAGATGTCTCTTCTAGTAGTAGATATATAGTTCAATGCTACTTATTACTTCAAAGTCTAGATGTCTTCTAGTAGTAGATATATAGTTCAATGCTACTTATTACTTCAAAGTCTAGATGTCTCTTCTAGTAGTAGATATATAGTTCAATGCTACTTATTACTTCAAAGTCTAGATGTCTCTTCTAGTAGTAGATATATAGTTCAATGTTACTTATTACTTCAAAGTCTAGATGTCTTTTCTAGTAGTAGATATATAGTTCAACGCTACTTATTACTTCAAAGTCTAGATGTCTCTTCTAGTAGTAGATATATAGTTCAATGCTACTTATTACTTCAAAGTCTAGATGTCTCTTCTAGTAGTAGATATATAGTTCAGCGCTACTTATTACTTCAAAGTCTAGATGTCTTCTAGTAGTAGATATATAGTTCAATGCTACTTATTACTTCAAAGTCTAGATGTCTCTTCTAGTAGTAGATATATAGTTCAATGCTACTTATTACTTCAAAGTCTAAGATATCTTCTGTAGTAGATATATAGTTCAACGCTACTTATTACTTCAAAGTCTAGATGTCTCTTCTAGTAGTAGATATATAGTTCAATGCTACTTATTACTTCAAAGTCTAGATGTCTCTTCTAGGTTAGATATATAGTTCAATGCTACTTATTACTTCACAGTCTTAGATGCTCTTCTAGTAGTATTATATAGTTCAATGCTACTTATTACTTCAAAGTCTAGATGTCTCTTCTAGTAGTAGATATATAGTTCAATGCTACTTATTACTTCAAAGTCTAGATGTCTCTTCTAGTAGTAGATATATAGTTCAATGCTACTTATTACTTCAAAGTCTAGATGTCTCTTCTAGTAGTAGATATATAGTTCAATGCTACTTATTACTTCAAAGTCTAGATGTCTCTTCTAGTAGTAGATATATAGTTCAATGCTACTTATTACTTCAAAGTCTAGATGTCTCTTCTAGTAGTAGATATATAGTTCAACGCTACTTATTACTTCAAAGTCTAGATGTCTCTTCTAGTAGTAGATATATAGTTCAATGCTACTTATTACTTCAAAGTCTAGATGTCTCTTCTAGTAGTAGATATATAGTTCAATGCTACTTATTACTTCAAAGTCTAGATGTATCTTCTAGTAGTAGATATATAGTTCAATGCTACTTATTACTTCAAAGTCTAGATGTCTCTTCTAGTAGTAGATATATAGTTCAATGCTACTTATTACTTCAAAGTCTAGATGTCTCTTCTAGTAGTAGATATATAGTTCAATGCTACTTATTACTTCAAAGTCTAGATGTCTCTTCTAGTAGTAGATATATAGTTCAATGCTACTTATTACTTCAAAGTCTAGATGTCTCTTCTAGTAGTAGATATATAGTTCAATGCTACTACTATTACTTCAAAGTCTAGATGTCTCTTCTAGTAGTAGATATATAGTTCAATGCTACTTATTACTTCAAAGTCTAGATGTCTCTTCTAGTAGTAGATATATAGTTCAATGCTACTTATTACTTCAAAGTCTAGATGTCTCTTCTAGTAGTAGATATATAGTTCAATGCTACTTATTACTTCAAAGTCTAGATGTCTCTTCTAGTAGTAGATATATAGTTCAATGCTACTTATTACTTCAAAGTCTAGATGTCTCTTCTAGTAGTAGATATATAGTTCAATGTTACTATTACTTCAAAGTCTAGATGTCTCTTCTAGTAGTAGATATATAGTTCAACGCTACTTATTACTTCAAAGTCTAGATGTCTCTTCTAGTAGTAGATATATAGTTCAATGCTACTTATTACTTCAAAGTCTAGATGTCTCTTCTAGTAGTAGATATAGTTCAATGCTACTTATTACTTCAAAGTCTAGATGTATCTTCTAGTAGTAGATATATAGTTCAATGCTACTTATTACTTCAAAGTCTAGATGTCTCTTCTAGTAGTAGATATATAGTTCAATGCTACTTATTACTTCAAAGTCTAGATGTACTCTTCTAGTAGTAGATATATAGTTCAATGCTACTTATTACTTCAAAGTCTAGATGTCTCTTCTAGTAGTAGATATATAGTTCAATGCTACTTATTACTTCAAAGTCTAGATGTCTCTTCTAGTAGTAGATATATAGTTCAATGCTACTTATTACTTCAAAGTCTAGATGTCTCTTCTAGTAGTAGATATATAGTTCAATGCTACTTATTACTTCAAAGTCTAGATGTCTCTTCTAGTAGTAGATATATAGTTCAATGCTACTTATTACTTCAAAGTCTAGATGTCTCTTCTAATAACTTAGCTAGTGTAGTAGATATATAGTTCAATGCTACTTATTACTTCAAAGTCTAGATGTCTCTTCTAGTAGTAGATATATAGTTCAATGCTACTTATTACTTCAAAGTCTAGATGTCTCTTCTAGTAGTAGATATATAGTTCAACGCTACTTATTACTTCAAAGTCTAGATGTCTCTTCTAGTAGTAGATATATAGTTCAATTCTACTTATTACTTCAAAGTCTAGATGTCTCTTCTAGTAGTAGATATATAGTTCAATGCTACTTATTACTTCAAAGTCTAGATGTCTCTTCTAGTAGTAGATATATAGTTCAATGCTACTTATTACTTCAAAGTCTAGATGTACCTTCTAGTAGTAGATATATAGTTCAATGCTACTTATTACTTCAAAGTCTAGATGTCTCTTCTAGTAGTTGATATATAGTTCAATGCTACTTATTACTTCAAAGTCTAGATGTCTCTTCTAGTAGTAGATATATAGTTCAATGCTACTTATTACTTCAAAGTCTAGATGTATCTTCTAGTAGTAGATATATAGTTCAATGCTACTTATTACTTCAAAGTCTAGATGTCTCTTCTAGTAGTAGATATATAGTTCAATGCTACTTATTACTTCAAAGTCTGGATGTATCTTCTAGTAGTAGATATATAGTTCAATGCTACTTATTACTTCAAAGTCTAGATGTCTCTTCTAGTAGTAGATATATAGTTCAATGCTACTTATTACTTCAAAGTCTAGATGTCTCTTCTAGTAGTAGATATATAGTTCAATGCTACTTATTACTTCAAAGTCTAGATGTCTCTTCTAGTAGTAGATATATAGTTCAATGCTACTTATTACTTCAAAGTCTAGATGTCTCTTCTAGTAGTAGATATATAGTTCAATGCTACTTATTACTTCAAAGTCTAGATGTCTCTTCTAGTAGTAGATATATAGTTCAATGCTACTTATTACTTCAAAGTCTAGATGTCTCTTCTAGTAGTAGATATATAGTTCAATGCTACTTATTACTTCAAAGTCTAGATGTCTCTTCTAGTAGTAGATATATAGTTCAATGCTACTTATTACTTCAAAGTCTAGATGTCTCTTCTAGTAGTAGATATATAGTTCAATGCTACTTATTACTTCAAAGTCTAGATGTCTCTTCTAGTAGTAGATATATAGTTCAATGCTACTTATTACTTCAAAGTCTAGATGTCTCTTCTAGTAGTAGATATATAGTTCAATGCTACTTATTACTTCAAAGTCTAGATGTATCTTCTAGTAGTAGATATATAGTTCAATGCTACTTATTACTTCAAAGTCTAGATGTCTCTTCTAGTAGTAGATATATAGTTCAATGCTACTTATTACTTCAAAGTCTAGATGTATCTTCTAGTAGTAGATATATAGTTCAATGCTACTTATTACTTCAAAGTCTAGATGTCTCTTCTAGTAGTAGATATATAGTTCAATGCTACTTATTACTTCAAAGTCTAGATGTCTCTTCTAGTAGTAGATATATAGTTCAATGCTACTTATTACTTCAAAGTCTAGATGTCTCTTCTAGTAGTAGATATATAGTTCAATGCTACTTATTACTTCAAAGTCTAGATGTCTCTTCTAGTAGTAGATATATAGTTCAATGCTACTTATTACTTCAAAGTCTAGATGTATCTCATCTAGTAGTAGATATATAGTTCAATGCTACTTATTACTTCAAAGTCTAGATGTCTCTTCTAGTAGTAGATATATAGTACAATGCTACTTATTACTTCAAAGTCTAGATGTCTCTTCTAGTAGTAGATATATAGTTCAATGCTACTTATTACTTCAAAGTCTAGATGTCTCTTCTAGTAGTAGATATATAGTTCAATGTTCACTTATTACTTCAAAGTAGATGTCTCTTCTAGTATAGATGTTCGCTTCTAGTAGGATATTACTTCAAAGTTTATCTTCAGTAGTAATTAGTTCAATGCTACTTATTACTTCAAAGTCTAGATGTCTCTTCTAGTAGTAGATATATAGTTCAATGCTACTTATTACTTCAAAGGTAAAAATGTGCGGACCTTTCTCAGCATGAGTCCGTGCGATACGTTCTGTGCCAGTAGGAAGCCGGCGCTGAGGTGCGCGCTGGGCCCCGCCTCGCCGCAGTGCGGCCGCAGCACGAACGTGTTGAGGCCCTGCTCCCTGGCATTGTATTTAAAATCTAGTTTGATTTGTTCAAGGTCCTCCTTTCAAGTCTTTAAAGTTGTTTTATCATAATTTGATACCATAATATTTTACATAGGACACCTTTATTTAGGGAAGGCGGGAGGGGAATTCGATAAAACACATCGATTGGAGTTAGGCAGCAGATTAATTAGTATGAAGGTCTGTGTTCGATTCTTTGCCATTCACTCGCCTGCCCAGTGTAGTGAATATTGCCAAATCTACAAGAAAGGCGTTGTTTAGCACATTTAAAAGTTAATTCGACCCAGTACTCCAAGTACTTCTCGCATCTTTAAAGCTGCTCCGCCTCGCCCGTCTGGGCGTCAATATATGGCGTCAATAAAGGCTAGATGCCGGAAAGAACTGGATCTTTCTGGCATATCCCAAGTCGCCTTTTACGCCACTTATGGGACGAAATGGGGTGATAGAAACTATTAAGCCGCCACCGCATGGCTACGGTGCTTTACTTAAAGTTCCTATTAAAAATCATTTTATTTTCTTCTATCTTCCCAGCTCGTCCAATCACTGTCGTAAAAGCGAATAAAAAGTATGCCGCTAAAATCATCAGATGGCATGGGAAATATTTAAAAAATGACATAGAAGAGGGGGCAATTGATCATGGGTTGCAGTTGATGAACAACTGCAACACCAGGAAAATTGCAGACGTCGCTGGCTATTAAAAAGTAGGCTGTTTTTTGAAAGTCTGAATTTGATGAGAAAGATGGCGATAGCATATTCCACAAAGAAGTCATGCAAGGAAGGAAATTTCTGGTAAAGCGCACAGTGATGAACATCCCTGTATTGTGTAAGATATCATGAATTATTTATATAGGATAGGATGACAAACTAGCACACAGTCTACTTGATGGTAAGTGGTTGCTGTGGACCATAGACATCTACATCTATCTTCGATTACGAATTAAAATGCAGATGCATTGTCACCCGTGAGGACTAAGGTGGAATGCCTCGTTTCCAGTAAAAAGGGTCTCCGGTTCTCTACACTCACCATACGAAACACATTCATTCAAATTTATTTATTTGTGAATACAGGTAATGAGACAGAATAGATCTTATATGTATATGTTATATAAATATGTTCGTTGCATTCAACCCTTAGGTATACAAATGTTACAGTTACAATTAAAAATCATTTCCACAATTATTTCATTTTATTACTTACATTATAATTATATGAGAAAATATATTAATGATGTAATAATTAATTAGAATGGGATATTTACAATAATATATTGTCTAATCAAAAGTCAAATGAATTATATTTTATGCAATGTCATTATAATATGCCTACTGATGCGTCACTTAAATATTCATCGATTGAGTAGTAGCATTTCTCAATTAGAAATGTTTTAAATTCTTTTTTAAATTTATGAATTTTTTCCATTTCATGAAACATAGATGGAACCTTATTATAGATTTTAGATAATATACCGAAAACGCTTTTTCTAAGTAAAGCTGTCCTTAATGAAATTGGATGAATTTTATTTTTACGTCGATTGTTCGTTATTAGGTAATCATTAAATAGACACAACACAGCAGCATTAAGCTACTATTTGACGCTGGTTTTCTGTGAGAGCGTGGTCCTTCCCCGGTCGAACCGACGCATTCGTGCTACAACTATACTACTAATACGCAGCATGGCTCTACTACATAAAGAATGAAGGGCGAATTTTGTCACGATTTTTGTCCCGATGTCTGATGGAGGAATTTTGCGACTGGAATTAGTCTGAAAAAGTCTTCTGATTTCTCAGATGTTCTCCATCTGATAAAAATGTAATTGTATTGGGTTATTTAAGGAAGTTAGGGTAGTGGACACTCACTTGCGTATCTGATTGAGCACGGTCATGTTGGCGTACATGTAGTACAGGTAGTACGCATAGGGCGGGTTCTTCTCGTCTCGCCACTCATCCGGCCGCTTCATAATCTCGTTTGGGTACGGGTTCTCCGGCTTGGACTCGTCATCCACGCTGTCGAAGCCAATCACGTGCTAGAAATAATGATAATTTGCAAATACGCACAGTCCTCGTGTGTGATCAATATCATCATCATCATTACAGACTTTCACAAGTCCACTACTGAACATAGGCCTCCCACACGGAATACCACAAAGCAGGTCCATTGGTCATCAGTCCATCGGTCATCCATGAGGCCATCGGTTATCAGTTCTTCGAGCTATGTGGCCGGTCCATTGCCACTTCAGTTTACTAATCCGTTGAGCTATGTCGGTTACCCTGGTTCTAATGCATATATCCTCATTTCTAAGTTTATCACGCAGAAAAACTCCAAGCATAGCCCTCTCCATAGTTCGCTGAGTGACTCTGAGCTTGATGACGCAAAAAGAATCCACCCTACTTTACGAACGGAAATAAAATAATAAATTTAGTAGGCATCTTTGACCTTGTCACTTCGCAGGGTTACATGCTATGATTGACAGATATTTTTTGAATTTCAATAGATTTTAATTAATTTATTAAATTCAAAATGTTTGTTTTTATTGTTTGTAAAATATCAGTGCCGTAGGCTTCTACTCCATTCATATGTTACACCCTATTTTTTCCCGACGGTAAAAAAGGTCATCCAGTAAATAAATATATAAACTACTACTACTGGCAACGAGGCATTTCATATGAGCTCTCAGAAGAATTTTTTAAAATTTTGTTTTAAATTTTGATTCTTAATCGAGGATAAATGTACATGTCTATGATCCACAGCATCCACTTACCATCAGGTGGCCTGTGTGCTCGTTTGTCACCGTTATTCTATAAAAAAGAATAATAAATAAAAGCATGGGGGCAGTACAGCAGGCACCTCTTTGCCCTAAAATGCGTATCAATCCAAATTTAATCACTGGACTGTTAGTTTCCTCTATACAAGTATAAAAACTTTACTGAACAGTTACCGTGAGAAACTTGTGTAGCTCTATGTTTGTACTGGGGTTTATGGACACCTGGAACAGTGGATCGAACAGATTGTTGAGGAACTCCTGGAAATTCTTCAGCAGCCTCTTGTTGCGGTATATATCGCTGAGGATGAAATACAAGTCGTTATTTTTAAATTTTCATATATAAAATAAGCACATTCGCAAAAATTTTCTTTCTTTTTCTATAGAATGTGATAAAAAGTGGTGCTGAGCCACCTGCGTGTCTTACTAGATTCGTCTGTCTATTTATGGTACTTCATGTAGGGACCGACTCACAGTTAGCTTACGGTTACGAAACCAGTATAGAGCCTTTACCTAGACTGACGACGGGCAGTTGCGTAAAAGGTTTTGACAGTGGTAAAGCCACGTGGCAGTTTTGCTGTTGCACGTATGGACCGGTTCAAACCGTGGTGGTACCACGACCTCACAGAATAGAGGCGTGAAGTGGAAGCTCCATTCCTGAGCGTGGGTGCCCAAGCTCCCCAGCGTATTCCAAAATTCCCCTCAAGACACAACTGTTCGGGGCAAGTTGAGCAAAAAGACCAAGGCGACCCCTGCCACGCTATCCGTGAATTTCTGCAATATCAGGGGACTTCACTGGAGTTTGCGTTTACGTCAGAGAGGACATCTGTTCTCGACGCCTCGGCAGTATTGAAGGTTCGGACCTGTTCATCCTTTGGCTACCCGTAGACAGCGCCTCTATAGGTCCCATAGCGGTAATGCGGAAACAGACCGACTCTTCGACCACGTCCAAATGGCTACAGATTCCTTGCTACAACAGATCCCCTCCGCAGAGATCGTGATACTTGGCGATTTTAACGCCCACCACGCCGAATGGCTCGGTTCACGTTTAACCGATCATGCGCAGAGATCTGTTCATGATTTTGCCATGGCATGTGGTCTGACACAACTGGTTCGGGTGGACGAAAGCCGTCTTCCATGATTTTGGGACAACGCCTAGGGAATAGGAGTACCGGAAAAGACGCATTAAGACCGGTGTCAAGTCTGGAGCACACGTCCTCAGCACAATTGGGGGGATTCCGTCAGGCCCACTCGACTTGTGGATGTCCAGGGAGAGCGCTGTGCGAACCGCACCTCCAGCATGGAGCACTAACACCGCGGGATGGTCGGCGGCGTACTCCCCCCGTCATCGAGAGTCGAGTTGAACGCAAAGAAAGAGCCTAGCGGATCGGCTTTCTCCTTTGCAGCATGGGCCACTGAGTCGTCCTCCCTGTGCAGAAATGGAAAAGATGGGTGACAGAAATTTCCCTGTACAGCCTTGGCGAGAGACCAGAATGTACGGGTACCAGAAGGACGGCGAACTAGTTTCTCATCATATGCTCTGACTTTGCTTTGGCAATGACTCTTGTAGGACCTGGAGGCGGAGTCATACTTCTTTTTTAGAGCGCTGGTGTTTACATAACGGGACGTTGATGCGTCAGCCAAGGCTTGGTAGCACTCCTGCTTATAGCGGATGCTATATTACAGGAGCGACCAAACCATGGCTGAGATTTACCTCCGATGGGCACCACAGAGGAAGCAATAAAAAGTTCCATACCCTGAAGTACCACATCAGCGACAGAATCAGCAACAACGTTGGGATCGTCCGATGTCGACAACCACGACACCACCACCAAGGGTAGGATGCAAGGAAAGGCTGTATCCCATCCCAATCGGCTGACCTATAGTGCCAAACACGGCGGCACCCTGCAGAATGCAATCGCGATTCTAGCATCAGTGGCACCACACTCCAGACAAGACAATGGTCCGAGGAGCCTAAAGGGGCGTCGACGGAAATCTGATATCCATCCGGATGAGAGGTCAGCAGAAGGTCCAACAGGGAAGGTGCATGATTCTCCACATCTGAAATCCGCGTAGGTGAGGTCTACCTGACTCATAGATAGGCAGTAGAGTCCAAGAGGGAGGCATTGGCTGTTAGTTTAGACATTGCGAAGGCCTTCGATCGGGTTTGGCACAAAGCGCTTCTTTCGAAGCTCCCTTCCTATGGGCTTTCCGAGAAATTGTGTAATTCGATCACCAGCTTTCTTGCAGATCGGAACATCAAGATCGTTGTAGACGGTGCAATCTCCGATTACAAGCCTATGCCTAATGCTGGTGTTCCATAAGGCTGCGTGCTATCACCGACGCTGTTTTTTCTGCATATCAATGATATGTTGCAAATCGGCAACATTCATTGCTATGCAGATGACAGCACTGGTGATGCACTGTACACGGGCCGTGCCAATATTTCTCGGGAAAACGTCTCCGAGTACCGGCACAAACTTGTGTCTGAAGTCGAGTCTTTGCTGAACAAAGTCTCGAATTGGGGTAAGGATTTATTGTATCTTCTTAGTTATAAGACACTCTGCCAGTATCGCAATCCTCGGCGTTGACATATCGAGTGACGTGCAGTTTCGTGGTCACTTGGAAGAGAAGGTAATTGGCCTCTAAAAAGCTTGGCGTACTCAGCAGAGCGGGACAGTATTTCATACCGGCACACCGCCTGCAACTTTACAAGGCGCTTAGTCGGCTTTACATGGAATACTGTTCCCATCTCTGGGCTGGGGCTCCCCAGTGCCAGCTCCTTTGACTTGACCGCATTCAGCGCAGAGCGGCTCGAATCGTCGACGAACGAGTGCTTTTCGATCGGCTCGACTGGCTTCACTGGCGCTGCGAAGAGATGTTGCATCTCTTTGCATTTTCTTTCGCATATACTACGGGGAGTGCTCTGAGGAATTGTTCGATTAATCCCAGCTGCCAAATTTCGTGAACGCACTACGCGGCAAACCTCCCGATACCATCACACCGTCTGGATGCTGGCGTGCACCACTGTACGTTTCATTAGGAGTTTTCTTCCGCGTATGACTCCTCTGTGGAATAGTACCACTGGCGATTTTTTCGGACTGATACGACCTAGGGATCTTCAATAAAAGAGCTTACTCCTTTCTAAAGGGCCGGCAACGCACCTGCATTTCTACTGGTGTTGCGGTTGTTCATGAGTGGCGGTAGTAACTTAACATCAGGTGAACCGCATGCTCGTTTGCCTCCTCTTCTATAAAAAAGGTGTGATATGTCTAGTACTGTGATCATCAATCCGCCAATCGAATGTGTCTCAAGATGATGACAAAACCTAACTACAACAGGAGAGGCCCACGTCTAGCAGTCATTTTCGACCGGAAAAATCACCTTTGGTGAAAACTTTGGGCTATTTTGGCCGAAGGTTTCTAGCAAGCGCCGAAATTTGACAAACTGTATTCATCATCTCTATATCAACTTCTAGAGGTGATTATGCCTTTTTATATCATACAATCAATATAAACCTAAAACGCAAAAGTTTTAAAATAATTTTTATTACTAATTTTAGTCAATTTGAACTAAAGTTCTTATGTCTCGGCCACACTATGCTCCTCGCGCTGCTCATCGGTCTGCACCTCGCGCTGCTGCGATGTCGCCCTGTCTGTCCACACTGCTCTCCGCACTAGGTCGCTCGCGTTTTCAACACATGGTGAAACTGTTGCAGCGTGCGAGCTACGCATATTTATTATAGCTAACTATATCTATGTCTAAAAAAGAAATATACGTTGTCGTCGTCGAGATAGCTTTTTCTCTGTATATTATTTACTCATGTGATAATATGGCTGAATGATGATGATAGGCACACTATTTATGACTTTTAAATGACACGTGACATGCTTCCGTACCGAGCGCCCGACTCGGACTGCGTTTGCGCGAGTGTGTGGCCAGCCACTCGTGCTCATATTGCCAGTCCGAGTGACTCGAGCCTAAAAAAAAACCGACAAAACAGAGAGCCATGGGCATGACGTGGAATATGACTTGCGGCATGACGAGTATTGTGGCCACACTACGTCTCTGCCTCCTTTCTTCGCTACGTTACATGCCACTCGACGAGTGTGTGGCCGGGGATTAAGGGTTTTTAACCCTTTGGCGTCGGCATTGGCTTACGCCAGCAGCAGCGAACTTTTACTGATAATAATTACGGTGATTATTTAAAACATATCTTACTTCATTTTTAAAGGAAGAAGGATTAAGGAAGACGGTAAAAGAGAAGATAAAGGAAGCACTCACTAGAGCCTGGGCACTTGCACTAGCCACCGCACGTGCGGCGAGTGCACCTCGTGGCGTATGGCCCAGCTCGCCAGCCGGCTCCACTCCTCCGCACGCTTGCAGTAGATCGACAGGCGCGGCTCCACGTACGTGTACTTGCTCTCCGCCAGCTCCGCTATCACCTCCTGATATTAATGCATAGAGAACTTTGCGAGGCTTTCAAAAGTTTATCAAATGTTGATTAAGAAACTATATAGCTAGATACCTAGCTGTGGGACCAGTGTATATATAGTTTCTTTTAACTTCTCATTTCTGAGATAGCTTTAAATTATCTGCCGCGTTACCCCCTTTCGTGTTCGAGTACTTCACATCATTTATTTTATTAACTTAACTGGTTTAACTGTTAATCCGCTACAATCCCAAGCTATAGATATTAGTAGTTCAAGAATAATCTCCAAATTAAATAAAACTCGAAAACTTTAAAATAAGGACGTAGTGAAAAACTTGGGAATCTTGATAGATTGTAGCCTTTCTTGGTCTCCTCAAATCATCGCAGTGTCTCGTAAAATGTTTGTAGCTTATGGTTCACTCCGCCCAATCTTTACTGCTCCCCATCCTAGATTATGGTGACATAAGTTATCTAAACATTACCGAAGGGCAACTTAATAAACTTGAGCGACTCCAAAATCTACGTATAAGTAAGGTTCATATTTGGACTTCGTAAATATGACCATGTCTCAGAATACCGCGCTAAGCTCAAATGGCTTCCAATCAGTCTCTTTGGAATACTCATATCCTTTCTGCACTACTTACCGCTTATTAATTCGTCAGACAAAGTTTTCGCGAGGTTTTTCTTCACCGCCAATGTGGTAAATCAGTAGTCTATCGATATTAAATTTATAGTCATTGGGGCCGCGGGAACCAACTCGGTTTGTTTGCGTCTTATTTAATTTTAAGAACTATTACTTACAGATGAACGCTTACAGATGGACATTTCCAACTGTTCTCCAATGGGAATGGGAGATTGTCCTCCTTACCTCTATACTCCATGTTAAGAACATTTAACGCCTGCTCTATAACTTTTAAATATATCAGTACTAGCCACAGAAATCTAATTATTTAGATTTCTGTGGTACTAGCTCAACAGACATACGTTGTTCTGTCTTTTCCGGTAGGTGGCACAATTGGGTCTAGAATTTATGATATTTTTTACAGTATAGGCAATAAACTGGGTAATATATTATTATACGAGTATTATGAATATGCAATCATTTTGGTCGATAAATATAGAACTTGTTTACTTGACTACAGCGCCACCTATCAATTCTAGCATGAATCGTCGCCTCGACAAAATATCAAGTCATTTCGAAGTTATACTAAAGATTTTCCCTGAGGTATTATTTCATCCTGTCAGTGTTATAAGAAATGAGTGCGAAAATGTAAAAACAATTGCATTTATGTGCTTTTCCAATAGATGGCAGTATAACTATCTCTTTGTATAATAACCGGACTTGCAAAAGGAATAGAACAAGAACAAAATAGAAATGAAACTTTTTTTATTCAATATAGATTATAAGTAATACTTATTGAATGTAAGGTTTAATTTAGCAATGGTTAGGAAAATATCGCTGTTCTAGGAAGAACCAGCAAGGAACCCAGCGAGACTTGAATTTTTTATTCGAGAAATAGATGTCAGATATTAATAGGTACTATGATCGCCAAAAAGCCTGCGATTCAAAGGGAGCAGCCAATAGCGATAAATGATCCTTTGGGCCTTCACCATAGGTTAGCTTATAGGGAGAATAAATCCATAGTAGCCACGCTTGGCGGACGGGTTGGGAGTGTTTATCAGGAAGATGCTGCTGCCCATCTCCGTATCAGTTACGCAGTACTCTAATATACTGCTAAAATATAGCTGATACCTTGATTATTGTAGCGAAATACTCGCCGTCCATATAGTTATCAGTCTTGAGAAACACTTCGCGCAACTGGCTCGCGCCCACCGGATTGTATTTCGCGTTGAACTTGTCGAAGCGATGGAAAGTGTTGCGATCCTGCATTTATAAATTACTAGCTGATATCCGCTCACTTTGCTGGGCGCACGATAATATTTTATTGCGGAACCTAGATGTAAAATATCAAGAAAAAAAAATTTGATGGGACTATTGTAAGCACCGTATTTAGTTTTATTTATTTACTTATCATGATAAAAAATCACACAGTTACAATTTTACAGTCTGCCAAACAGCTTAGCAGTTTGTTGGCAAAAAAAAATGCTCTATTACTTCATAACATGCAAATAAAATAAAGAAAATATAGCTTAAATATAGCTTAAAACAAATATACAACCTCTAATATAATGAACCAATAGTATTAATATAACATTAATCAGTAATTTAAACGACAACTGCATTTTTCATATATATATATGTTGCATGTACACATACACATATTAGGTATACATACAAAGTATAACGTTTTTTTTAACTTATATTAACTGTCTTTTTTATGCGTAAGGTATTCTTGTGGTAAGTAATTGTTTTACATTTTCTACATTGCGAAATGAGTAAAGTACTAAATTTCAAATCAATCGGTGTATAGTTTTATGGACGACACACACGGTCAGTTCAACTGATTATTCCAACTGATCATTCAAACTAGGACTATTGATATTTTTTTAAAATATCGGATTTTCGATATATCGATAATTATAAATATATCAATATCGAAGTATTATATATAAGTTTATTTATTGATATATCGAAAATCCGATAATTAGATTTGGTTTTACAAAAATATCAACAGTCCTAGTTTCAACTGATCAGTTGGAATGATCAGTTGAATTGACCGTGTGTGTCGTCCATAGAGATCTCGTGATGAATCAGTCAGTCAGTGGTATTTCACTTATACCTTTATCTTCTATATAAACATAGTGCCTATGTACTAATATAATGCCTATCGGCATTCTTTGCCAATCAACCCCTGGAGTAATGAGATTTTGTGGCAGGAGCAATTACATATGTATTAATTATACATACATACATATATATACGTACTATCATATATGTTCTAGTGGTAGGAAAAACTGGCAACTCCGTCACGGTGTGATCCCTCCTCACATTAAAATCAAACATAGGTACAATCAGAAACACTCGTGATAAATTAATTTCATATTGTTGATCATTCAACTCGCTTGCCTCTCTTTCTTTATTACCACATAGGTAGGAGGTACATATAGAATTGCCCTCAATAGTTTCTTCGTTTCCAATAACAGTTTAAATAGGCACATACACATATAATACATAAAATCGCATTTTTATAGAATGAGGATGACTAACTACAGTGGAATCTCTATAACTCGAATGTCAAGGGAAATGCAAAAAAAAATTCGAGTTAACGAGATTTCGACTTAACAAGAACTTCGAGATAAATCGACAAAGAACAAACATAACGTTCACTGCTGTTCATTGCACGTTTGTAAGACAAAAACAATAGATTAGAAGACCCCGAACCCGAACATTCATTTTGGATTTTATTGCATTTGTATTTCTGGCAATTCCAAGTAAGACGTCATTATATTTTACTAACTACGACTTACGGAGTCTCCTTTTTGAAATTCGAGATAAAGAGTATAAATATGTATTATCAATACTTCGTAGGGAAATAAAAAATAACGTTTTGTTCGTGTTACCAAGTGTAAATAATTCGAGATACCGCGTATTTAGGGGTTCAGCGGAAGGGAATGGCAATTTTTTTCGACTTACTGAGGATTTCGACTTAACGAGGTTTGAGTTATAGAGATTCTACTGTATTATACATTTCACCTGATGACAAGTGGATGCTATGGCACGTTGTCTGTCTGCCGATGTTACGCCCGAGTACTTCGTTGCTTGGACGTCGTTGCCTTTACCCGATAGAGCAGATTAATTTTGGCTGCGTTATAATGGCTATAACGTAATACGCATCTTAATCCACTCAAGGCTATAATTTTAGTTGAATATAGCAACGGTAATGGTGCGCGTCGAGGCACATGTGTCGACGTTGAGGTCGTGCACGTCGATGTACATGTCGAGGAACAGAAAGCGCAGCATGTGTAACTTTATGCATTTATTGGGTTGTTACTCACCTCGTGTACATCGTGCAGATCGACGTTGAGGTCGTGCACGTCGATGTACATGTCGAGGAACAGAGAGCGCAGCATGTGTAACTTTATGCATTTAGTGGGCTGTTACTCACCTCGTGTACATCGTGCAGATCGACGTTGAGGCCGTGCACGTCGATGTACATGTCGAGGAACAGAAAGCGCAGCATGTGTAACTTTATGCATTTAGTGGGTTGCTACTCACCTCGTGTACATCGAGCAGATCGACGTTGAGGTCGTGCACGTCGATGTACATGTCGAGGAACAGAGAGCGCAGCATGTGTAACTTTATGCAGTTAGTGGGTTGTTACTCACCTCGTGTACATCGTGCAGATCGACGTTGAGGTCGTGCACGTCGATGTACATGTCGGGGAACAGAGAGCGCAGCATGTGTAACTTTATGCAGTTAGTGGGTTGTTACTCACCTCGTGTATATCGTGCAGATCGACGTTGAGGTCGTGCACGTCGATGTACATGTCGAGGAACAGAGAGCGCAGCATGTGTAACTTTATGCATTTAGTGGGTTGTTACTCACCTCGTGTACATCGTGCAGATCGACGTTGCGGTCGTGCACATCGATGTACATGTCGAGGGACAGAAAGCGCAGCATGTGTAACTTTATGCATTTAGTGGGTCGTTACTCACCTCGTGTACATCGTGCAGATCGACGTTGAGGTCGTGCACGTCGATGTACATGTCGAAGAACAGAGAGCGCAGCATGTGAAACTTTATGCAGTTAGTGAGCTGTTACTCACCTCGTGTACATCGTGCAGATCGACGTTGAGGTCGTGCACGTCGATGTACATGTCGAAGAACAGAGAGCTCAGCACGTGTAACTTTATGCATTTAGTGGGTTGTTACTCACCTCGTGTACATCGAGCAGATCGACGTTGAGGTCGTGCACGTCGATGTACATGTCGAGGAACAGAGAGCGCAGCATGTGTAACTTTATGCTGTTAGTGGGTTGTTACTCACCTCGTGTACATCGTGCAGATCGACGTTGAGGTCGTGCACGTCGATGTACATGTCGAAGAACAGAGAGCGCAGCATGTGTAACTTTATGCAGTTATTGGGCTGTTACTCACCTCGTGTACATCGTGCAGATCGACGTTGAGGTCGTGCACGTCGATGTACATGTCGAGGAACAGAGAGCGCAGCATGTGAAACTTTATGCAGTTATTGGGCTGTTACTCACCTCGTGTACATCGTGCAGATCGACGTTGAGGTCGTGCACGTCGATGTACATGTCGAGGAACAGAGAGCGCAGCATGTGAAACTTTATGCAGTTATTGGGCTGTTACTCACCTCGTGTGCATCGTGCAGATCGAAGTTGAGGTCGTGCGCGTAGGGGCACATGTCGCAGAGAGCGCATCGTGTGTAACTCCGTGCAGTTAATGTGAGGTTTTTACCGCATGTACATCGAGCAGGTCGACGTTAAGGTCGTGAGCGTCGAGGCGCATGTCGCGGAATAGAGAGCGCAACGTGCGTAACTCAGTGCACTTAATGGGTTGTTACTCACCTCGTGTACATCGTGCAGATCGACGTTGATGTCGTGCACGTCGATGTATATGTCGAGGAACAGAGACCGCAGCGTGTGTAACTCCGTGTAGTTAATGTGAAGTTCTTTACCGCGTGTACATCGAGCAGGTCGACGTTAAGGTCGTGCGCCTCGAGACGCATGTCGCGGAACAGAGAACGTAGCGTACATGGGCGCCCGCCGCGCAGCGCTACTTGCTCGCCTGCTCGTTGTCGCAGCGCGCGCTTCATGAACCGCACCAAGTGCTTCTGAGTCATGCACGACGCTGCGTGGATGTGCGTGTCGACCTTCCTACAACCATGCGATATTTTTTTTAAAATAATACTGAACTCGCAAACGACCACGTCAATCTTTTTCATAAAATTGAACAGACAAAAGAACATAATAACACCTACAACCAACATTAAACATAGACGCCAACAGATGCGATATCGCCTCTAAGAACTCAGATGGAGGATCCGTAGGCTATCCACAGGCACACACTACTGACCCCGTTAAAATATGAATTAGATTTGGAATCATCATCAGTTTCCTCTTAAGAATACGCTCTGTAATTCTTAGAAAAGATAACAGACAGTCAAAACGTAGGTAGATGGATTGATTAGCTAAATGTCGATAGGCTAGCACTCTTAATATTACTCTGATCAGCAGTCTGTGAGTTTTGGTTCGGTATGTACAAAAGAATTTAGGTAACATCCTAATTCAATACCTTGTGGTACCCAGGTAAGATAAACGTGGTACAGTGCACCGCGTGTAGGTGGGATTGATCTTTGACGAAGAAATTAGTATAAGCACGAAAAGTAAGAATGAAATATTTTTTTATAGAAGAGGGGCAAACGAGCATACAACTCACCTGATAGTAAGTCTCGACAACTGCCCATGAATAACTTTAACACTAAGCGAGTAGCAGGTGCGTTGCCGATCTTTTAAATAGGAGTAAGCTCGTTTCTTGAAGGTCCCTATGTCGTATCGGTCCGGAAAAATCGTCAGGGGTAAATGATTCCATAAAGAAGCGAGGAAGAAAACTCCCAGTAAATCTCACAGTTGTGGACCACCAAGAATCCAGATCCAGTTGGAATTACTAGGCTGCACTAAAAGTATCGGGAATGGAATATTTCCACTGTTCCTGTCATATTAAAATCTTTTTAATTGAAAACTCCTTGGTTTTAAAAATCGAATACCATTTATTTATTTAAAAAAAGATTCTCGGTCTTGCCACAAGGTTTTGTCAAACTTGTTTAGTCGTTGAGAAAATGGAATTGACTCGAGAAAATTCAAGAGCGATGATTTATTATGACTTTCGAAGTGGTTTAACACAAAACCAGTGTGTTGACCGGATGATTTCTGCATTTGGTGATGAAGCCCCATCCAAAATCACAATTTATCGCTGGTTTGCTGAATTTCAACGTGGACGTGTCAAGCTCAGTGATGATCCCCGTCAAAGTCGTCCAAAAACTGCAGTCACCCAAGAAAACGTTGATGCTGTGCGTAAGCTGATTGAGGAAGATCGACATGTGATATACCGCGAAATTCAGGCAACTTTAGACATTGGCATGAGTCAAATACAAATAATCTTGCATGACCAATTAGGTGTAAAAAAGTTGTTTTCCCGATGGATACCGCATTCGCTCTGTAAAGAGCAAAAAGCGGCTCGCGTTACTTGATACGTCAGAACTCTCGAAAGATTCCACGCATATAGATCCTCAAATGCTGTATACAACATCGTATCAGGTGACGAATCCTGGATATACGCGTACGAACCCGAAACAAAAAAACCAGTCACGAGTTTGGGTGTTCGAAAATGAGTTAAAGCCAACAAAAATTGTTCGTTCACGGAGTGTTGCAAAAAAAAAATGGTGGCCACGTTTGTCTCCAAAACCGGCCATGTTACGACTATTCCTCTTGAGGGACAAAGAACGGTTAATGCAGAATGGTATGCTAGCATTTGTTTGCCACAGGTCGTTTCTGAACTCCGTAAAGAGAACTGCAACCGCCGCATCATCCTCCATCACGACAATGCGAGTTCTCACACCGCACACAGAACAAAAAGAGTTTTTAGAGCAAGAAAACATAGCATTATTAGACCATCTGCCGTACAGCCCCGACCTAAGCCCTAATGATTTCTATACTTTCCCTAAAATAAAGAATAAATTGCGTGGACAGAGATTTTCATCACATGAAGAAGCTGTGGACGCCTACAAAACGGCCATTTTGGAGACCCCAACTTTCGAATGGGATGGTTGCTTCAATGATTAGTTCCATCGTACGGAAAAATGTGTCAAATTTCGCGGAGAATACTTCGAAAAGCAATAAATACATTTTTAAATAGTAATGTTGTGTCACTTCCTTGATTCCCGAAATTTCCAGTGCCGCCCTCGTATCTGAGTAATTCCAGACAACATCTTACAGACAACTTCCCTTACAAACGTAAATTTTCATGACATCGTCAATTCTAACACATCACCAACAACTTACAACAACATAACAAACTTAAGAAAACCAATTGTTTTGATATAAAATGAAATGTTTTATTAATTTATTAATTTTGTATGCAAGCCTAAGTACTTTTTATGTTTTTATTATTATGAGATTGTACACACACACACAGTTGTCACAGTTTAGATTTTACATCCAAATAATAATAATAATATCCTCTAAAGCGAATTTCAATCACAGTGGCCCGTCTCAACGTAGACTAGCCATCTGCGCAGGACAGGAGTGAGATTGTGTCCGATTCAGTGAATGCGCAAGCACAGAAGTGGGATACTGTCCGATTCAGTGAATGCGCAAGCACAGGAGTGCACTCTCTTTAGCTATACCCTCACTCTCATAATCCGATGGGACGGCTATCCGACACGAGCACGACCGGAAAGAACAGGCGCTGGACCAACGGTTTTACGAATTTTCCGAGGCATGGGGTTGAATCACCGCCAAGTCCTTGACTCCGGGCTACTACCGAAAATTTCTTAACAGAAAAAGTCAATAGCTGATATTTTTGGCCTGATTCGGGATTCAAACCCTGGATTTCATGATCAACAGCCACGTTTACGACTACTAGACCAACGAGGCAGTCGACAATCACCTGATGTTATAGAAGTCTTTGTGAGGCACGGCTTTCTGCAGCGCCAGCTCGTGGATCTCGTTGAGCAATACGTGCATCTTAAACTTTGAGAAGAGATAGCTCAAACGCCGGTAACAAAATGATTTTCTGCAACGTGATAAATATAAATTACATCATGTATTAAAACTTTGGGTGACCCTCACAAGATGAAGTAAATGACCTTGTGAGAGATAGAGGAAGTCGATGGAGGTACAGTATGCAGGTAGCTGAGTATCGTGCTTTGTGGCACTCCTTGAACTCCACTGCTAACATATTCAGTGTGTTCATTAAGGGTTCTTGTGTGTAATTGTGGGCTGTAAAGTTGTAATGATGATTATTATTGAAACTGATTTTAGAAAACGAAGAGCAGTGCATTATATTTTACCGCACAATTATTTTCTCCGTTTTCCCCCATTTTTTAATAAAAAATATTTTGTGATTTCTACTGTATCTTACATAAATAAAATGCACGAGGACAAACATCCAGACCATTTGGCCAAATAATTGACCAATTGACATTTCAATAAAAAAACATTTTTATTATTGATTTTTTTTAGAATTAAATCAAAGGAGTTTAAAAGAATTGATAGTGCGTAAATAAGTACGGTATGAGATTAGATTTCTACTATATTTTATGATCTTAAACCATTTTTTCACTAATGTTTTTAAATCTTGTTCTTTTAAGAAAAGGTAAATGATAGAAGGGATCGTAATTTAGAACAAGGAAACCTTGTTTTTTTAAAAAAAATGAAGTGACAAACTAACTTGCAGTCCACCATTTAGTCAAGTACTATAATAGGTTATCATAGATCTGTGATGCATGCCCAACCCAGTGAACTATGTTTCTATACCCAGAAAAGTCTTAAGAAAGTTTTTTTTAAATTACATCGATACTCACAAAGGCCCATTAGCGATCATCTCGCCTAGCTTGTTTAGGTCCTCCACATACTGGTTGAAGGGCACACATTGATAGTTCAGCGGCTGGGACACCTGCATGTCAAATTCGTTGCGGTATATGTGCACTACGCCGCCGTGCCAACGGTATACGTAATTCTTGTTTGAAGGTATGACACACGACCAAGGGTCTGAGCTCTCTGCAATACGTGATATAAAAAAGAAATTTAACTACTATTACTACTGCTTTATCATTAACACAATTTTATGAAGATAAACTTCGCTTTCTTTATAGCATGTCATTTGGACATGCGTCCAATTTAATTTTAATTTTTCATTAAACTATGCAGTTTAATGAAAAATTAAAATAAATCAACACAACAACACACTCGGCGCGTGAAAGACGCATAAACGCTAGCCGGTCGATGACAACCAAGAGAAACCAGCAGTTGGCTCTTCAATGAGTTCAAACATTCTAGATAGCAATAATGTATGGACACTTGACGAAATTAATGGAATACTTTAATTTATCGGCATATACGTTATTGAAAGAATTTAAATTTTCATCTCTCAATCACCCCAACCCATAAAATGTTCCAAAGCGCGGTTTATTCCACTTTTAAAGAAAACAGAGTAAATGGGGCCCTGCACTCTATTGTGAAGAGTCAAAATGTGTCAAAAAAGGCACGTATGGCAATTCACAATGCTGTGTTGGTCCCTACTTTAACGTATGGTAGTGAAAGTTGGGTGTGGCAGAAGAAGCACGAGAGTAGAATAAATGCAGTAGAAATGCGGTCGTTAAGGAGTATGTTAGGGCTGAATCTGAATGACAGGGTGAAGAACCGCCTTTGTGTGATAAGAGAAGAGTGTGGTTTGCAAGATGATGTTGTGACCAGGATTAAGAAAGGAATGCTTCGGTGGTTTGGTCATGTGGAAAGAATGCGATGAGGAAAGAGTGCCTACAAAGAAAATTTATGTAATGCAGAAGTGAATGGCAGAGTCGGAAAGGGACGTCCTAGGCGAAAATTTATCGACCAAATTGGCGATTTATTGAAAACGGGCCGAATTAGGAGTTACCCTGTAACCGACGAGCATGCATGCGTAGATGTATGGATGTGAAGGAGGCTTTGAGAGAGGTGTGTCAGGATCGTGCCAAATGGAAGTCTGTAATCTCTGCCTACCCCTCTGGGTGACAGGCGTGAGTGTTTATGTATGTTATGTATGTATTAAAGAAAACTGTGGCCGAGGAAGGAAAAGGAGAGATCTCCCGCCGGGAAAGGTGTTCTGCCCGGGGAGCGGCTAACACTCCGAGTGATAGTTCGGAGATGTTCTACGAGTATATATAGTGTTTATGATTCGGAACTTTTGATAGCGCGATTTAGGCTTCGGTGTGTTTCGCTTGTGGCGCGACGACAGCGCCGCCACATACACGCCACATACACGTTAACCATACAAGTGTGTAGGTAAGAAAACCTCTTATACAAGCAAAAGCGATATCATCTATAGTTTTCGTGCAATCTGCCACGAAATATGAACATTTTTATCATTTATTTTTATCACAGATTTTTTTGGTAAAAGTTTAGTTTTATCAAAAATTTCAAATTTTACCGCCATGATATGTATGACTAAAGTAAAGAATAGAATATGCTATTTTCTTCGATTGCGCGGAAACTATAAGTGATATCGCTTTTGTCAAAGTATACACTGGGTGACTATTTTTACCGTCCAGAAAAAATAGGGTGTCCCAGGTGAACGGAGTAGAAGCCTATAGTATTGATATTTTACAAAAAATAAAAATAAAAATTTTGAATTAAATAAATAAATCAATTAAAATCTATCGAAATTTAAATCATACTCAAGGTGAGTAGTATTTTACGAGCGGTAAAAAAAAACAATAAATTTAGTAGACAGGGTCACAGGCTCAAGGGCAAAGCTACCCGTGTCCTCAGTGCTTTAGTGTTTTTCTCTTGTTTGTTTATTGTTATGTTGTTTGTTTTCTTAGTGTATAATAAAGGGTATTATTTTATTGTATTGTATTGTATTGTAGTAGCTGAGGCGAGATGTTTCCACCTGTGTATCGTAAACATGAACCAATACTCTAATGTCGAGTATCTAACAATAACGCATGTTTCCACCTGTGTATCGTAAACATGAACCAATACTCTAATGTCGAGTATCTAACAATAACGCATGTTTCCACCTGTGTATCGTAAACATGAACCAATACTCTAATGTCGAGTATCTAACAATAACGCATGTTTCCACCTGTGTATCGTAAACATGAACCAATACTCTAATGTCGAGTATCTAACAATAACGAGCCAATTCGATGATAGGTGGATAGATCGCGGTTGACCTGTGAACTGGCCGATGAGATCATCAGACCTAGCACCTCTAGACTTTTATTTGTGGACCGAACTACAACGATTAGTGTACACAGAAGAAGCACAAACTGTTAGGGATTTAAAGCAGCTTATAATAGACGCATTTGATGTGATAATAAGTGATAGACACATACTCCAAAGTTTAACAAACAATTCACAAAGACGTGCTAGTTTGTGTTTAGAAGGAAAAGGTAGACGTTTTGAACAATTACTAAGACATCACTAAAAAGGTAATTTTTATTTGTAAATAACAATAATGTAGTATAATTTAGTAATATCAATCAGTGCAGTTTGTAAATAAGCTGATATCTATCTCTTATATACGCCAAGATGTTGCAGTATTAGGTGGGCATACCAATTATTATTAGAATCTGTTTATCAATCCATTTTAATGCAAGATAAAATTTATCATGTAATTCTACTCAACTACAGTATATTAGACGGTCCTAAGCCCATAAATGTATTAAGGAAAGATCGAAATCACAAAAATAATAATCTGAAATGAAAGGTAATTTACCTACTAACCATTTTCTGTTTCAGATTTTTTTTCGCTATTTACAAACATGCGACACGCGACGGCATTATTAATGAAAGAGTGGCAATGAGAATTGCTGCTATTTTAACTTTATTTTATAGGCCAAGTATTTTAATAATAACCAGTATATGGCGATCTTGATTTAGTAGGCATTAACTAGTACTGGGCGCTCTACTTACACCGAATGTTTTAAGGTCATAGACTTTATACGCGAAAAAACCACCACCAACCAACGGCTTTACGTCCTTTCAGAGGCGCGAGGGTGAAACACCGCCAACTTCCTAACTCCGGGCACCTATTGAGAATTTCTTGACGCAAAAACTTATTTTGTCCCGACCCGGTATTCGAACCCAGACCCTCATGATCAGATGTCACGCTACTATTACTAAACACTTATAAGAGAAAAATACTATTTTATAAACGTATGGCGCGGTCAGCTGATTTTAAAAATGTTGGCTGCAACGATGTGTCGGCTGCTCCCCTCCCACTCGGCCACCTAGCACCTACATAACGAAAGATGTGCATGCGTCTCGCTCGCTCTTACAACTTTCGTTCCCTAGCGATCGTAGCCTATTTTTAGTTTTACACGAACGCCGTAGGATGAAATGTTTTTATTTATTTTTTTAATATTAGGAAATTTTGCCTATCTAGTTATATTTTGTTATATTTTACAAATACTTTCGAGGCTAGCTTTCACTTTCACTTACACAAAACACCATATTATTTTTCAGACGGTAAAAATCCCGTATTGTAAAATGTAATGTATAAGAGGTTGATATATAAATTAGCTATCAAGGATCATTTCATATCTACACACTTCTCATGTATTGTGTACAGTTTTCTTTAAAACTGAAGACCGTGGCGAGGGGTGGGAGGGTATCCCGGTGAATAATCCTGGAGGGAGAAGGAGAGTGGAAAGTTAACTTTGTCCTATAACGTACATATTCCGATAGATGAAAGTACTCCATTACTTTTGCCAATTTTCTCTGAATGGCCGAATGAATTAAAATTTCAAAATAGCATAGCAATGTGAAATGAAAGAGTTAATTAATGATATATGTCTCTTTTAAAAAAAACATATGCTATTTTTTTACTTTAGTCGTACAAATTTTGGCGGTAAAGTTGGAAACTAAACTTTGAGCAAAAAAATCATATTTCGTGGCAGATTGCGCGGAAACTATAAGTGATATCGCTTTTGTATGTATGAGTTTAATGATAGCAAATTTACCAAGGATCATTTAACTAAAGAAGTGAACTATGTATATGAGCGAGGTGTCATGTCATGTCGCGCCGTCACGCGGCTGAGATGCGTGATATACGCGGGTGAAACACCGAGGCACATCTAGTATCTTATAAAAATTGAGGAAGGGTCGAATAAATCTTAAAATTTTATCGAGTGCAGTTGTTTAAAAATTAGTACAAATATATGAGGCTAATTGACTATTTCTGACGGATCTAACCAGGATGGAACTGTGGAAGGCACCGGCCAGAAAGTAATTAAAATTAAAAAGTCTATGCGGCTACTGTAAGATTACAGAGTAATTTCTTTCAATTAACTATGTAAACATGTAAAACATATTGCGTTACAGTACGCATTTACATACGTTAATATTTTATAGGATATAGATGAAAAACGAGTGCACAGTCTAACTGATGGTAAATGGTTGCTGTGCCCCATCGCATAGATATCTACATCTCTCTTAAGAACCGAAACACAATTGCTTTTTTACCCCGAAACCCGGACTGGCACGGCACCCCTGGCAAACCATCTTGACTAAGATGGTGTGCTAAGATGGAATGCCTCGTTTCCAGTAAAAAGGGTCTCCGGTTCACACTCGTTTAGGCTAATTTGCATTCTATGAGAGCGTAGTCCTTCTCTGGTTGAGCCAACACATTTGTACTGTATGACTCTCCACGTGTTAATACGCTCGGATTGAGAATGAAACCAGGAAATAAAAGGATCAGAAATACCCTGTAAGTTAGCCTCGGTGTCTTCTTGACTTCCAAAAGATGTCCTTACGTTGTTTGACATTTTGTCAGGGTTCTCACTGGCCTCTTCATGAGCCGTAGATACTGAAAATAAAGAAGTTGAACGGCATTTCCATAAACTTAAGTAAAAACAATTATTATTTATTTTTTATTAATTATTTATTTTTAGAAACCGAAAAAACCCGAATGCAGTGATCGTTTTCGTATTATTAAAATATTATAAAAAAAAGAAATGTCACAATCTATGGACTTAAAGATTGTAACGAATGAACAAAAAAAAATTGTGGTGACGAAATTCAGCGAAACAACGCTGAGTAAATAAAATGTTATCGTTCAGTAAATAAAATGTTCTTTCTTACTCGTGATCTCCGACCACTTGCTGGGTATATCATCGAACTCGTATGCCAGGTTATCGTTAGGAGTCGCTGCCATTTGTAGATCAACTGCGTCATCTGACGGTAAGAAAAAGTAAAAATTAATACGATGGTTCTCATAACCGGGTTGACCGATTGCTAATTTTGACTCACTGTTTTATTGATAAATATGATACAAACATATTTTACTTTAAATTACTTTAAATACTAGCGATGCGCGGTGGCTTCACCTGTATAAGATCTAGAAATGTAGCGTTATTTAGAGCTAAGGTAGCCAAAGACCATTTATGTTAGCAATTTTTAGTTTTTGTTAAAAAAACATCTTTAAGTTTTTCGAATAATATACAGGGTTATTTTGCAATAACCAGTCAAAGGAGCCAATCGTTTATGGGCCCACTAGAAATTTTACTTACTTACTTATCTTCACGCACAATCCCTAACGGGGTAGCCAGAGAGAACAGATCGCCAAGTGTCACGATCCTTACATACCTCTTTCGCTTCCTTCAGGTTCATTAACTTCTTCATACATGCACGTCTAGGTATCCGAGTACTCTTGACCCTCCCCTCTTTGAGCAATTTGCTCACATGGTCTTCGAAAGTTAGTCTCGGTCTACCTCGACACCTTTTAATATTTACTTTCGCTCTATATATTTTCTTCACCATTCGGTCTTCACTCATTCGTTCAACGTGCCCAAACCATTGGAGTACGCCCCTATCAATTTTTGTGATAAGGTCATCTTTCAATCCTGCCATATTGCGAATCTCTTCGTCTAGAACAGGTAAATGAAATTGTATACTCGGGGAGTGCTTTCAGCCGGGATGGAAGATGTGATTTAGATGTGGATAGGCGTGTCGCTGCCGGAAACAAGGTCAATGGTGCCCTGAATGCATTAGTCAAAAGACAAGGCGTGGTGAAGAGCACGCCTTGCAATACATAACGCAGTGTTGGTACCGACTTTGTTATATGGCAGCGAAACCTGGGTACGCCAGAAGAAGCATAAAAGCAAGTTGAATGCAGTGGAGATCCGATCTCTTCGTAAAATGTGTGGCGTTACCTTAGCCGACCGAAAGCGAAACTAGAAATTTTAACGTAACTTAATGGTAACTTAACGTAACGTAATGATATCGTAACGTAATTAACACATAAAAAATTATACCAATTCATTAAAGTAAAGGGCCAAAAGATTTTATGAAAATCTAACCGGAATCATAAAATCTAAAAAAAAAAGAATTTCAACAGTAGGCAAGATTTTGAAAAACGTAAACGTGAATTGAATCATACACACACAGAAGCGCGTAAGAGAAGTACTTGTTGCCCATTAATCAAATTCAATTTGGGATAATTTCGAATAAAAGTAGAAGCCTTATTTACTCGTATTGAAAAAAAATTTAAATAATTTATTTATTAGAACTTAAATATAAAATTTGGCTTCTCTTTGAAAAATAACCCTGTATAGCCTAGATCCCGTCTGGTATTGATCTCCATCTGTTCGTAAAGTTTCATCACATTCAGTTCAGCTATTCCATCCAGACCTGAAACAATTGTTTGTATGCAATACAAATATAATTGTTCCGTACGGGATTTAAACGTGCGGTCTGTAGAACCGCGTCGATCTTTACGCCACTGCACTACAGGGTCGTTAGCATTCGCAAAGTCCCACTTGCATTACATGACATTTATTAGAATATAATTCATACGTGGTAGAACCATACTGCAGCACTAATATATTAGCAGTATAGTTGTAGCACGAATGGGTCGGCTCGACCAGGGATCTCCGCTCTCACAGAATACCAGCGTAAAATAGTAGCTTAATGCTGCTGTGTTTCGTATGGTAAGTGTAGAGAACCGGAGACCCTTTTTACTGGAAACGAGGCATTCCATCTTAGTCCTCACGGGTGACAACGCATCTGCATTTTGATTCGTAATCGAGGATAGATGTAGATGTCTATGGGCCACAGCAACCACTTACCATCAAGTGGACTGTGTACTCGTTTGTCACCCTATCCTATAAAAAAAATTGTCTTGTTTCACAATCCGGCATATGAGCTATTCCATCAGATATTAAGGCTATTGGTATCCATATAGACCTGTAACTAATAACAAATTTTAATTATAAATGCAACACCTGCATCAATACCTCTATCAATAAAGATGTAATCTCTCACAATCTGTTATTACACTGTTCTTCCAATTTACACTCTTGACACCACAGTCTAAGTACTACTAACAGTCGGTTATCGACGGCGTCTAGATGGGGCAATCCTGCCGTGCGAGACGCGGGCGCTGCGCTCCCGAACGGCCGTTAGTAGTTCGGGAGCTGTCCGCTAGAGTTATCCCGCAAATAAATTAAAATGGTTCACACTCTACATGTGAGGTAAAAAACTGTGAATCGTCTTCATTTAGTAATAATAATTTGTCCTAATTTTATTTTATTTAAGTTTAAACGTGAAATAAAATGAAATCAGTTTTTTATTTTTTATTCAATCCCGTTCTGACAACCCTAGCAATTTATTGTTTATTTCGACTTTTCCGACAACATCAAACTGTATGTTCTTCTTAGGCTGTGCTTGAAACCAAACATACACAACACAACAACAGTAGACGAAAAGGCAAGCGTGTGACATCTATACAGGCGCTCTACAAGACAGAATAGGAGCCCTTAGTAGGTGATTAAACTTTAGGGAGGTTCCTAAAGTTTGAGCACCTATATGAATGTTAAACCAGTTCGAGCAGACCCTGATGATCATGACACAAGCGCTAGAGTCCCTATAAAAAGATTTTAATGCCTAATCAACCCCGATTTCAACCTAAACGAGTGGTAAATTAAACAAAAGAGTGACTTTCAATAAGTATTATTTATAATCTGTATTGAATAAAAAAGTTCAACAAAGATCATGTGCATGGAAAAGACCTGATCCGTACATTCCACCCCTATCAAAATCCAGCTTGCACATCTCCTATTTTTCCTTCAGTTTCTTTAATAACTCTTTCAATCAACACCTTAGCATATAGTTTCGTATAAATGCCAAGCAGGTTTTAGCAGGCACGGTTTATATATAGTACAGATCCCGGTTTTTGCCTAAGTTCGCAGCACAAATTAAGGAAGGCATACGGCAGCTCTGCCACAACTCTCTCTTTCCCTCAGAATTGGTAATGTTACTCTATGATATCCAACTGCCTTATCTGTTTGGCTGTGGTAGGAAACGGAGAGATTTCCCACCGGGCATGATCCGATCCGATGAGCCCGGGAAGCTACCAATGCTCCGTGTCTTAATTCGGAGCTGTTCTATTTATAGCGAGCTAGCTTCGGAATTTTGATAGCGCGAGTTAGGTTTCGAAGCGTTTCGCATTTGGTGCGACGACAGCACCGTCACACCTGCTTTCATGCTTTTTATTGCTTTCATTATTTCATATACCTACTTATCTCACTACTTTTTTCTCTTCTTTCGGAGTTTCTATTAATCATATATACTCGTAATTCAGATTTCTTCTAACACTTACGCACGCTATCAAAGTGTTGCTTCGTCATGAGCCATTCTCGTTTCGTGTACTATTCATTCTAGGCTGTTCTGAGTTTTCCCTGGCAGTTCTTACGAGTTTCCAGAACATTTAATTTTGACGAAATCGTAGTATCCCATATAATCCATCTAGCATAATGGAAGTGATCTATTTATGTATATCTGAATCAGTATAGCACTGCACGATTTTAGTAACAATATCCCAACATCTCCACAAACTGTAATTTTATAATGTTATGACAATATCAGCATTAGTACACAAATTATTTAAGTAAAACTTCTGCAAATAATAGTTGGAAACATTTCTTTGTTTCTCGACTAATACCTAATAGAATATAGCCTTTATATTACATATTTTTAATGATACTAAATCACTAATGATACCGAATCGTAGATAAATTATTAAGTTAATAAAAAATCTTACAGTCCCATTCTTTCATTGCTTTGACGACGTTAGGAGAGACGTGGTGACGGGGACTGCTGGACGTCTTGTGTGCAGCGAGGAAACTGGCGAGATCGGGCGGGAAAGACTGGTGGGAGACTTCCATGTAGCGGCGTCGTAGGTCTAAAGCCTCTGTTAGGAAAGACGCTGCAGCTGATAGCTCCTCCAGAGGCACCTGGGTTCGTTATAAACGTATCTATTACCATATAATTTTATTTTGCTTTGTGGTGCCTGTGTAGAAAAATCTCGCTACACCATTTGTTCGGCATAAAGATTTTCAGTGACCTAAACACTGAAAATCTTTTAGATTCCTCGTACGGCTAGTAATAAAGGACTATTTTTCGGTTCCGTAAATCATTACTACTGAAAACACGCAAATAAATTTTGTGTTTTTGCACATCATCATCATCATTACTGCCTTTCACAAGTCCACTGCTGAACATAGACCTCCCCCAAAAGAATGTCACAAAGTGCAGTCGTGAGCCACCTACATCCACTGACTTCCTGCATGTCGTCACTCCATGTATTTAGGGATAGCCCTACACTTTGCTTACTCGTACGAGGCTGCTACTCGGAAAACCCATCGGTTGTCGGTTCTTCGAGCTATATAGACGGCCCACTGCCACTTCAGCTTACTAGTCCATTGAGCTATGTCGGTCATTCTGGTTCTACTGCGGATATCCTCATTTCTAAGTTTATCACGCAGAGAAACCACGAGCATAGCCCTCTCCATAGCTTGCTGAGCGACTTAAGTTTTTTAATTGAACGTAATGATAACATGAACATTCATTGATTATGAACAATGTTTTACTTTAAGAATTTAAAAGCTTTCCATTCAAAAAGAATGCCAATAGCGTTAAATTTTATAGAATGTAAGCTTCCTAGTTTTATTTGTATATAGTAATAACAACGTTAAAGCGACAGTAGCCTAATGGCAGGGCGCGGACCGCGAACTCAAAAAGATCGTGGGTTCGAATCCGCCATTCGACTACTGGCGTGAACCACTCGTAACACAAGCAATTTAAGCTTACCACGAGTGGTTAAGGGGAATATTAGTAATGTTTATAGCATTGTTAATATTCTTTAAAAAAAATATAAACGTGTCCATATGCTCACTGGGGAATGTTTGTCATAGTTGCTAAACTTGGCGGGCTGGTTGGCAATCACAGTTTTCAGTTCGAGGTCGCTCAGCGAACTATGGAGAGAGCTATGCTCGGAGTTTCTCTGCGTGATAGACTTAGAATCAGAATATCCGCCATTGAACCGCAGCATAACCCAACGAATCAACATGAACCAAGAACCGACAACCGATGAATACATGGTTCTTTGTGCGAATCGTTCTCACGTGGTATCCTCAAACCAGCAAGCGAAGCGGTATGGCTCCCTATTAGATGAAGTGACGTCATGTTCAGACTTGCGGGACCCGGGACCGTGCCTTGTGACATTCCTTGTGGCGGTCTATGGTTAGCAGCGGAGTTGTGATGGGCTGTGGTGATAATTTACTACGTGTAAGCTCTACAGTAAAAAAACATCTTAAGAATTGCGTGGCAGGCGAAGTTCGCTAATACAGGTAGCTCATGGTACGGCCGACACCTAAATAACAGTTATGTGCCCAAGAGTGAAAGGTATGTTAGCTTACTCTACTTTTATCTTTGCTATATTCGGCTTACTCCGGTTGTATGTATTCCGTGGACGGACACTCGTTGGAAGTGCATGTTATAATTCCCGTTGTCCCCTGGCATCGGACCGGGTGTAGATGGCTCTGTGCGCTTCATATTAGTACGTGAATGTGTCACTGCGAAATCACGATAAAGTTTGACTTACAGTTGTTTGGTGGCAAGGCAAAAACATAACCTTATCACACTAGTATTTTCCTCTAAATTCACGTTTTAGGCATTTCAAGGGCAAACATCCAGACACATCATTCCAGACATAACATACTTGTTATGTCTGGAATGCGGCTACTGCGCTACCATCAACTATTTCATCTTCTTTATATGTTTTTAAAGATTAAAACTCAGATCAAAAGAAAAATGAAGATGGAGTGCTGCCTAAAGAGGGAAAACAGAGCACTGCGTACATTTAAAGTCACGCAAAACCAAGTCAAACCCATGCCCAATTTATTGTCTTTCTTTTTCTTTTGGTCTGAGGTTGCAAATTAATTGTGATTCAAGCAAAATACGGAGCTTACAGACAAAACTCTGAAGATTGCAGCAATGCTACTTATTGCTATTAGCTGGGTATCCAATTTCATCAAGGAAACAATTATTTTACCTATAGATATCTATATTTCTATGCTCAATTATTCGTATCTCACCAAACGAATGTATTGAATTGAAAGCATTGTACCACAAACTACACCGTCATTTTACGCTGGTTTTCGCGAGTTTGATTCATCCCCGGCCGGCCTATTTGTGCCATAAAAGAACCAAAATTCACTGCAGCGTGGCTTTACCATGCTTAAATTGTTAAGCGCTACCAGTTTGCCCTTCACTATGCCAATAGACTACAGAACACACAAAGTACGAGTAGATAGAAACTTTCAATTTTATTTGAACGTCCGAGCAAGTTCAGATGATATCTAACTTGGCAAGCTATTTCGCATTGTCGACATCAGGCAATCTATGTTCATTTACTTTTATCCCAAGGTTATGACTTGTATACGAATTTTATTAAATTTATTATAATTTAAAATTGATCCCATTACTTACCTGCGAGATGTCAACCTATTAATCTTTGTAAGGATCGCAGAATTATAAACTGTGCACTTTGTAATTTATTTATGATGGTCATCATTATAGAATATTTATTTAAAAGGACGGATCTTCTAAATAGAGTGTATATTTAAAACTTATCCCATTTTGTTTGGATTTTGAGGTGACTTATGTTGGCGTGACTTACTTAATATGACATACAAAATGACAATTTTGAAATAACTTTTACTCCGAAAAAGGACAAACTTTATTACGAAAAAAGAAAATTAAAATGTGAAACCCTCGTAGACAGAGAAACCTATAGACTAATGATTAGCGTGGCCTCGAGTGAGAAAGGACGATAACGTAGTTTTAGGTTATAAAATATCTTTATGACTTTTAAACATATTTAGATAAAAATTTTAATTGTTCTAAAAACTGAACTGAACGAGATTCACCAATCTTAAGCTCACAAAACACTTTTTTTCTCACTTAAACCAACTTGTAAACTCCTTAGATCGCTACGAACTGTCAAAGTTGTTTAGCAAACTGTAGTTTGCTAAACAAAAAAAACCGGCACGGAGAAAGGGACAAACAATCACACCGCTCTGTCTCATTTGTATGCAAGACGTATGCATAAATCTATATTTTTCGTGTGCGAATGCGAAAGAAGGCGTCAGTTTGTCTATAGGTTTCCCTGTCTACGGAAATCCTGAAGACCAGAGAGATTCCTAGTAAATATGTGTAAGTAATCTGTGGGCAGAATACGATAGGTAATATTCGCAATAGTATGGAGACGCAGCGTTTCCATACTATTGAGAGGTATTATCTCAGACGCTGACCTCTATATATACAAGTATGGAGAGATAACTACTTCATCATCATAGAAACTGGCTTCTTCGAGCCAAGAATTGTGCAAAAATAGTTTAAGTTGAGATTGTCCACGTCGCGTACCTTTATATCTGACAATGACTATTAAAAACCTTTTTTTTAAACTAGCTTAAGCGTTACAGACGAAGACTAAGTAGTTTGATTTCTGTCGAAGGCTGTCGAATCCAACTTCTGCCGTCCCTCATTTCCATCCATGCAGAAACCTTATGGAACACTGGCTCACTCCGTGACTGAGAAAGCAAATTAATTTGCATCTCTGTTTGCGAGCAATTCTCGTCTAGATAGTGGCTCTAAACACTCGCCAATCCTACCTCGCTGTGATTCTTTGATACCGAAGGTCACTATCCACACGAAAAAGATAATTATGTAGAGCCTTGCAAAACCCAGGCGTGAACATAGCCAGTGGCCCTGATGGTATTCCTGCAAGGGTACTAAAGCATTGTGCGCATGTGTTATCTCATGTTCTGACGCCCCTGTACAGCATATCTCTTAAAACTCGAACGGTGACAAATCTTGGCAAACAGTACTGCTAAGTACTATTTCCGTTCGCCAATACACAAACATGTCTCTGTGCTCTGGTTTTAGGCTTTGATGAAAAAACATAAATATTGCTGAGAGGTGTATAGGACAATGAAACACTCAATCCTTGTCAAATAATATTACATAATTTATTTTTAAAATTACATAGTATTTTTACATTATATTATAAAGTAAAAAGTATCGGTTATTTTGTTTTAAATATTTTCTGTATTTATTAAAATACTATTGATTTAGACGTCTCCGATTATTTAAAAATTCATAAACAATTTTTTTATTTCCTTTTAACTTAAACGTCATAATAAAGTTCTACGATTTAATAAACGACTGTACGGATATATTTTATTGTAAATAAATTGCCTTAAAAATTTAGTAACTAAGGCTTTTAAACAAATTTTACACTTAAAACTAAATTACGGCAGTAGCAAGAACTAGCTGTACATAAAATTAAAAGAACACCCTCCTACCGTGGCAATCGGGTAAACTAAGACTACTAAAGTAGCGTGTAGAGGACACATACTAAAACTGTGCACTCTAAGTGATGACATTTTTATATTTTTTTTCTTAATTGCATATAGACAAACATCTTGCCCCAAACTCCTACAAGGGCGTCCCATTTTCCGCCATTAGCATCTGGCAAAGCTACGACATTGGTAATCAGAAACAAGTTGTCGCGTCAAAAATCCTTATAAGACCTTTGTCTCAAGTTCTTTTTTTTTTCATTAAAAGGGTATAGAAATAACGAATTGTAGCGGCTTCAAATTCTTCTCGATTTACAGATAACAAACTGTTAAAAAAGAATCTGATGAAAAATGAATCTGAAGCAAAATATCTCTTAAACAAATCTATTCCTTAAAATGTTATTCCACACAGTTTTGCCTCGCTTACTACCACGTCGATTAAATAAAGTATTAAACTTGTGTCTCTTACCGTGACTGCTTTATAATTTGTAGTAATACATACGTACTAACTAATGTTTGCATCTGTTCTCTACGCAAAGGTTGTCTGGAAGAGATTACTTACTTACTACCTTAGATTTATCTGTACTCGTTATTGTGTATTTTGGTGAACAATAAAGAGTAAAAAAATAAATAAATAGGGTATATATAAAAGGTTTCGATATAAATTCATAAAGTTATTACTATTATTTCATATACCTATTAATACATACACACATGTATGTCCACTATTATACGGTGAAGTTAGTGAAGTTGGCTATCAAATATAGTCGGTGCTAAACAGTATTGACGGCTCCGTAGCGCTGAGCTTAGCCTCTGGTCACGGCGCTGTAGGGCCGGGGGTTCAAATCCCGCACGGAATAAAAGTTTATATGGCCTACAAATAATTGTTCTGGGTCTGGGTGTGTGTCCATATGCAATTTATATTTCTAAAACGCCTCCAAGATACAGAAGAAAATCCTACTGTAACATTTTAAAAATTAATAAATAATAGTCAGAAAACTATCGCCATTATTGGCGATTCGCCTTGATATTTGGTTAAAATCAAGAGTCATACGAGCGAAGGGCGTTTGAGGCTCACGATGGGTGCATTAATGTTGGGCGGCGGCGGCGTCGAGGGGGCAGGGCCATTTGAATATTGGTAAGCCGAGAGGTGAGACTGCAGCATTACATATACATATATTAATTAGAACTTAATCAACATATAATTATGAGTAAACAAATAGAACAAAGAAGTCATTTAAAATATAGCTAGAATAGAAAACTGTTACCATCTGTAAGATTATAATAGATTCTTTACTATGTGAAGCGGAATGTGTAATAAGTACACCTTAAAACAAAAAAAAAACATATTGAAAAATGCACATTTTTTGACTAAAATAGTTGTCATCAATTTGAAAAAAAAATACTTAAATGGAATATACTATTTCTACTACTAAACTGGCAACACTTATGTGTTAATAAAATAGGTATATATATATCTATATCCATTGTTTTACCACAAATTCCTTCATCGCTTTTAGTTCATCATCATCGTTATAAACACTACATTCCATTACAGAACCATGGCTCAACATAGGCCTCCCCCCATGTTACAAAGCACGGACCTAAGACACCTGCACGAGCCATCAGTGCGAGCCAGCCACCCGGCAAATGTTTATTCCCCACGGTCGTCCTTCCTTCGGGATTATTTTAAAAAAATGAGGGTGACAAACGAGCACACAGTTCACCTGATGGTAAGAGGACGCTGTATCCCATAGACATCTACATTTATTCTCGATTAAGAATCAATACGCATATGCGTTGTCACCTCTGATGACTAAGATAGAATGCCTCGTTTCCAGTATAAAAGGGGTCTACGGCCAGCCTTGTCTACAGAACCATACTCTTGTTCTTCTGTGAAATGTGGATACGTTATGGATTTTATCACAGGAGTCCCAGGCCTGGGCACAGGTCTCCTATCATTTCTAAAAGAGTTTTAGGACAGTAGACAGAGACAGTATCCACCGCACTGCCCCAATCAATGCGTGTTTTCCCGGGATTTAACATGTCTTCGAAATATGATTTTTAATCTTTCGGAAGCAATCCCTCACGATGTTTTCTTTAACTCCTAAAAGTGTAAATTAACTTATACTATCATATATAAAATCAATGGTTACATTCTGAAAAATTAATTATCTTTTCGCTCAATATTAAATGCAAGCTTTGTCTTTAGTTTGTTTTCAAGACTTGAAGTTTAATTATCTTAGAAAGTAATAATTTACGCACCCTATTTGGTAAGGGTGCTGTTTGAACTCACCTTTCCCATTTCATTTTACTCTCAAATTCAAAGGCTAATGTAAACTCAGTCATCCTTCATCAACTTGTTAAAGATGTTAAATAATAACTATTAAAAATAAAAATTATTTTTAACATTTTAACTACATCCGCTAACACCAATAACCCTTACTTATGTCCCATAAAACTTTGACACATACTTACGAGTGTAGCTTAGTTGTACTTAGCTGCTTCAAGAAATATGTATATTAATACAGTTATAAAATGAAATTATTCAGTCGAAACACACAACATTGGCAAACATTTAAACCAAAACATAATAATTTATAAATGCTATATTTCGTCACATGGAAATAGTTTATTTATATTTCATTCTAGCACTAGTACTCACTGCTTGAAATTAAAATTAGTAAATATGTTATTTACGTCTAAAATAAAATAAGATTTTTTTTATTATAACGTTTAATATATGATAGAAATACGTTTAGTTATGGTATTACTATCACGTCTATTGTAAAAAAAGGAGTCTTTATTTAAAATTAGGAATATTCCGTGGCAAAGTTAAAACACATATTTATTTATTTTAACGTAATGAAAATGTAAACGAATTTCTCAATGCATTTACATGCAACTGTAATGTATATGGAAATCGTGTGAAATACGATACTTGGATATACGAAAATTTTTTATAAGTTAGAACAACCAAGGCAAAAGACTTATATTAAGAGATATTTCACACATTTAATCATATTATGAGGCGTGCGTACGAAATACCTTCAGAAGAGAACATCGTAGCACACTGTTGTATCTATAGTGCAAAAGAAAAATATTAGCAGATAACCTAAATACAGAAATATTTTGTTTTCTTTTCTTGCTGTTGATTCTTGAAATTAAGTGAGAAATTATTTTGTATCTAAAATATAAAATAATAAAAGTATTTATTTACTGTATTTAAAAAATGGGGACATATTAAAGGACATGTTGACATGAAATATTGCCAACATAAAAAAATAATTTTCCAATTAGTAAATTTTATTTCCAGCAACATGATAACATTTAACTTGATATAATATGTATGTGTATATATTTTAATATAAGTGTATAAAGTTTTTCATACATTTACACCAACTTAATCATTTACATTAGCATTAAGTACAAGTCGTGTTGTGTATATATCTTCGAAATAATTATTGTAAGTGTAGATTGTAATTCATTAATATAAACAATATATTAAAGTATAAAGTTTTCAATAAAGTTGGGATTATTAAATTGATATTAATGGAATAAATATAAATGTAGGTATATTTCATGTATGTTAAACATAAGTGAACAAAATAACATTTATAGGATTTTTTGCGAGTATTACATATGTTATTATCTGGTATGGAATTCCAAAAAAGTGGTATATGTTTTAATAATGTGATCATCACAACAATATAAAAAGATTCAACTTTACAAACAGTTAATATATAACTAACAAAAACACACATGATTAACAACGATAACATAAAGCATTAAACATACATTGTTACAACCACATAAAGCAATTAACACACCAGTATTACGAACAATTTATATAATCGATCTTGGAAATTAGCTCAAGTATGTCAAAGCAAAATATTATAGCCATCGAAAAAGCTTCACTGAACGTATTCAACATGAAAAACATTGAGAGTGCGGTGACAAATTAGCTTTTGTTTACTATATAGATTTATGTAAACAATGTTTTCATCATTTGGGGGCGTCCATAAATTACGTGAGGTGTTTTTTTTTAATTTTCTGTGCCTAACTCCCCCCCCCCCCCCCCCTGGTGAGATGTGATATTTTATTCAACCTCCTCCCCCATCCCCCAAACTCACGTGAGATTTTTTTAAAATGTGGGTTTCTTACGTAAACGCGTTGGATTGTTATTGTAAAAAAGAAAAAAAAACATTAAACGTGAGTTATACTCAAAAAGTATTGACTTTAGAGAAAAAAGTTTCAAACAAAAGTTATAGAAAATAAACTGATCTTCAAAAATAGATTTATGTATTTTATTGATTAATCTAATATTTCAAGAGTTATTGGCCGCGATAGAAAGATTCATTAAATGGTCCATACATCGTAAACGGTAAGTTTTACAAAAAAGTGTACTGGAAACAAAAGATGCGAAATTTTATTTTCTACAATAATGGTTTCTATAACTTTTGCCTTAAAGTGCATAGTTTCGTTGTTAGTTGTTTTTTTTTTTTCAAGATGGCGCTTGAAACGCCACCTGGATCTGTCAGCATTTTGTGATTTTATGCTGAGTATGTGATCCTAAACCTTATAAAAAAATAAAATTGGATCGGAAATTTAGTGCAAAGTTAAATTCAATTTTTACTGTACTATTTCATTAAACATTTTATTTATCAACAACGTCTTACAATCGTCGTTTCTCTAGCGTTCACGTGACCTTCATACAAATAATTATATATTTTAATTGTTGATAATCTTTATTTTTAGATAAGAACATGGTAACGACTCTAAGTTATATTTACCTTCATTTAAAAAAATCTTTGACTTGACCAATTGGTTTAATAATCTGACATTTCAGTAGTGGTTAATCGTATTACGATACACGCTTAAGATTCAATCTTAAGCATGTACGATCTGGATTAAATCGACCAAAATAGTATATTTTTTTTGTTTCAATCAGAAAAAAAATTGCGTGATATTTGCCGAGACCCCCCCTCTCTCCAATGTAAGATTAGATGAGATTTGATTCAACCCCCTCCCCCCTTAAACATCTCACGTAATTTATGGACGTCCCTTTTAGCATAAATTTTATCAAGTATTTAATGTCCGAATGAGTATACAATTTAATAAAATAAACCTTTGTAAATTAAGACGTGGTAAATTAAATACGTAATAATGAATTAAATACTCAGATCTAATTGATTATTTAAATAATGAGTGGTAAAAGGGTAAATTACCACATTATAGTAAAACATTTAAAGATGAGTTCAATCATTAAATCGAGGTTTTGGAGAGTGAAAAAAGAGAAATCTTAGAACATTATCTCATTTATAATATTTTATTTAAAGCATATTGCCGTCTTGAAGTAAGATCGGACATTATATTGGACTGTTTATAGGGTAGGCAAAAGATATCTAAAGGTGAAATTAACATAACACCATGAAAAAATATTACATTTTTGTCAATATGTTTGAATTCACTATTAAACATGGGATTATAAAAAATAATTCGAAAAAGTAAAACCAAAATACATTACAGAAATATTCTGTTAACTTATTCATAAGAAACTAAGGCTCTATCTAATATAGGCACCATAGTGCTGGCACTACACGATCATCCAACTGTCCAATTCCAAACGTTCACCCGAACCTAAACAAACTCGTTTGAACCAGAAACAATAGGTGAAGCAAAATGAAAAAATCTAAGTTAATGAAATAATGTATGCATTTATATATATTGATATAAAAAAGTCTAAAGTGTCTTGAACCGGATATGGTCAGTTAGGTCGATTTGTGGACTCTAGCTGTATTCATATGGTGTCGATTTACCACCGTCAACGTCGATTGCTAAGCCAATTTGCCCCTACTATCCTACACGCGAGTACAAGTTAGTAAACGCGTGTTAAGTAAAATGTGTTGGATACTGTCCTCACATCGAGTGTTGGAATAATCGTTGGAGGGTTGAACAATCTGTCTAGAGCCGGCATATCACTACTGAGTCAAACTGCTTTAAACGTCAACACGGGGGAAGTGTACAAAAAATGAAATGGCACTTGGAAGCTTAGCGACCTATCTCACCTAATTATCACATTGTGGAATCCTTAACTCACTAATTACTTTAACATCTCAATTGGGGCACTTTATACAGCCCTAAACATTTAAACAATAGACTTATTTTATATAAACAGGAAAACTCATATAACATGGCAATGTCAAAATGTGGTCAAAACAGTGATCTTACTGTAATAGCAAATTTTAAAACTATGCCTCGTCTATTTGCGAGTTTTAGGTTGGAACCAACGTTAGTGAAAAAACGTAAATATTTGTGTACGGCACCATGACCAAAAGCGTATCATAACGTATAGCCATCACTTATCGCGTAAGCTATGAGTGATTGGCTCCTTGTTAGTATGGTTATTATCAAATCTCTTGTGGAGCTTCAGAATAAGACCGTATTCAGATGTTCATTTAGGAAGCGAAATCAAAAACAAAATCTCACGGAATAACACCATCATTATCATTATCCTGCCTAGTTACCCCTTAAAAGTAAGATTACATATCTCACTAAGTTGAAATAAACTTTCGGTACTAAAAAATAACAACCTTATTATATTATATTAATAAATAAATCAATTAAAACTATCGAAATTAATGTAAAATAAAAAAATGTAAAATATCAGTGACTTAGGCTTCTATTCCGTTCACCTGTTACACACAATTTTTTCCAGACGGTAAAAAAAAACCAGCAGTATAAATTGCACAAGGAGTTCAAGCCCTTGCACTACCGACCTAGCAACCTATAAGCCGCTAGCAAAAGGTTTGTTGATAATCAACACACCTTTTGCGTCCGCGTCCGCGCATTTCTACAACCGTTAAGGCTAAAGGTAAACTATAAAAATAAATGAAATTAACGATAAGTCACGTGACAATCACGTGGCTTAACTTTGAGCTTTGAGCTACGTATGCGATCGTAGAGAGCAACTTGGCTAACCGTCCTGTACCGATAGCAACAAACTTCTGCGCCCAGATTGTAGTACAATAATTAAATTCTCTTCATATATCTTCATGTTAAATGAGTTAAATTAATTGTGACAGATATGGTGGCACTCACAAAATATGCATCCATATGGTTTTATAATACAATCTTATATGATTCACAAATTCATATTGATTATGTGATGTTGATACTACTTCGAAATAATTTGACAACAGCATTGATTCGTTAAGATTTAGAACTATATCATAAACAGTAAAACTCGTGTCAAATTGTCTAAAGATTTTAAATATGCCATGTTATATAAGGACTGTCTGTTTTGTGTAAAAATAATGTAAATTTAAATCGTCGATGTCACGCTCGATGTGATTTATCTGCGACTCGACATCCCTTCCTGCAATATGGTTTTTGTATTATAATTTATTTTAAATTAAAAATATTATCGTTACTATACATTAAATACATGCCAAAGTAAATTATATCTGTTAGTCACAAGAGATAACTCTTTTTAATTTTCAATTTCATCGTTGTTAATTAATTGTTAAAATTGCAATTAATATTTAAATTAAATTCATCGTTAAGCATTATGACAATTAATAACGAATAACAAAACAAATAAGGCACATATTAGAATAACATCTCACTCCAAACCACCACCAAGAGTTGATATGAATGAAGTGTTTACAATGAATTTTTGAACTAATTTTACTATCGTAAATATATCAATAATTGTTGTGTGTGAATTGGAGATTGTTTCAAAATTGTGCTAATGTATTTTTTTATAAATTACGCTATATTGGAATTTGAAATAAAAGCTTCGTTCGTTTCTAAAAGAAATATACTTACATCTACTATGTTCATCTACCTCGTATAAAGAAATATGTTTTAGAAAAAGAGCATATTTCAATAGAGAAAAATATGCTTAACGTCTTACAATGATTACAAATCGTGATTACAATCGAAGTTTCGTATTATTATTTTCATTTATTTTTGTATCAATGTTACTAAATGATATGGTGTTAAGCATAACAAACAAAACACAGGAACAAAATGAAATTTAGTTAAAAACTAATCACTATTTTAAGGATCCTGATAGTGACATATTAATTGTTGATAAATTTTAATAGTTGAAACTATAAGGTTTCTTTTTGGTTTCAATAAGGTTGATTTTCGTTTGCACTAAATGTAGTGTTAAGTAAAGAGTAATTGCAGGTATAGATGTAAAGAAATTGGTAAAATTGAAAAACACTAGATCGTTTGTTTGTTCGCATGAACATATGAGCGTGTGTATGCGCGAGTAGAAGTGTAATAGTTCTAAGTTTGAAGACATACCTTGAAAATATTGGTAAGTTCGTCGAGCAGGGTCTCGTAGCGGAAGGAGATACGTATGTCAGGCACGTTGGTGCGAGTTATGTCATTACCAGCCACGCCCTCCTTCATATAGTTGGGGCCGAGCCAGTACTGCTTCATCTGGCGATCATAGTTTATATATTTAATTAAGTTTATAACGATAAAATATTACAAAACCTCTATGCTTTCCACAGTTGGGCACAGACCTCACAATTCTGAAATGTTATGGAGATGTTAATCCGGTGCACCGCTCCCGCGTTTGTTGTTGTTACTTCAAATGATTATTTACAAAATATTTGTGAAATAAATTTTCACTTTACTTAGTATTGCAGAATTCAATGAAAGAACAAATTTCAGTAAAGTAACGGAAGATTAGTTTGAAATATGCTAAATTAGATGATTTTAAAAATCTGATCTAACAGGGCGTCTAAAGTACAAGGTTGAGGAAAGAGGACGTTAAAATCTTAATAGACAAAATAAGTAACACAAACGTGTGCAAGCAATAATCATATTTATTGAATAAACTCCAATATTTTGAAGTTGCTATATTTTTTGGTTTAAAACTTGGCCGAAACTCCGTTTTAACTTAAATAAAATGTTTATTTTTTAAAATTTAAAAAAAAAACATAGATTTGAAGTTCTATAACGTCATTAAATTATTTTTAATTTTTTATTCAAAAAGTATTTCAATGGATTTTATCAAATCTTAAGGAGTATTAACACACATATTATTTTAAATACTCAACCCCGAGTAGCAATGTTTACAGTGTGTGTACATATAGGTCTTGCAATTCATGAAGTCGAGCGGACTCTACTTGTGATTGAACGTGCACATTGCGATAGTGTGCGTGCGTTCAGTGGTGACGATAACCATACCCGCTTTCGGTCTCACACATACTGACACGTAACTGACTGAAGCGCAAGAATTATAATAAAATATGGTCGTTAGAGATCACCGATAAAGAAGATGTATACAATTTGTCGACTGTAAAATTAGTTTTGTAACAAGGTTGAGAGTGAATACGCATTATGAAAAAAGACTCAGCGGTCACCTCGTGCGGGAAGCCGGACATGAGCACGGAGTTGCGCGCCAGCTCGCACATGTCGCACGAGCTCAGCTTCCACACCTGCGCCGCGATGCTGTACTCCTCCATCAGCGGCTCCTGCACACACACTCACTCGTATTAGCTTGCTCTAAGCTTACATTATTAAACATTACTAAAAAAGCAAAAACGATTTTATAAACTAATATTAAACTTAAAATAAAGCGTAAGGCAAACTACAAAATCAAAAAAGAATAATTTCCACATGATAGCTTCTGAAGTCATTATCTCTCAATATCAAGTAGGTTATCAGTCAAGCTGACTAATAAATGATACTGTTGGAGGTTGTAATAAAAGCTCCAGTAATTAATTAAAACTAAGTATTAAAAGTATGTGTGTCATCACAAAGCACTCCCTCGAAATGTCCGGCTCGAAGGGCCAGGACTTTCTCGTCTATCATTCAAACATATATATCCTGCTGAATTGAAAAAACAGTTTTTTTATAGAATAGGGGGCAAACGAGCATGTGGCTCACTTGATGGAAAGTGATTACCGCTGCCTATGAACAACTTCAAAACCAGGGGTGTGGCCGTATAAGGAAAAAGGGAATGCTTTACTACCGGCTTTTTAAGTAAGCTCTTTTTTTTGTGAAGATCCCTAAGTCGTATCCGTCCGTAAAAATCACCGGTAGTAAATGATTCCACAGAGAGGTCGTACGAAAAAAATCTTATCGAAACGTACAGTGGTGGACTGCCAAGCACACAGATGGTGCGTATATCACACGGTGTGGTATCGCAAATTTTGTCCGAACAATTCATCAGAGCACTACTCGTGGTAGGTGCGAAATAAAATGCAATGGTATGCAACATCTCTTCGCAGCGCCAGTGAAACGAGCCGATCGAAGAGGACTCGGTCTTCGACGATTCGAGACGCTTTGCGCTGGATGCGGTCAAGTAGAAGAAGCTGGCACTGGGAAGCTCCCGGCCCAGAGATGAGAACAGTATTCCATGTGAGGCCGAACCTGCGCCTTGTAGAGTTCCAGGCGGTGTTCCGGGAAGAATTACTGTCTCGCTCTGTTGAGCACGCCAAGCTTTCAAGAGGTCAATTTGGCCTTCTCTTCCAAGTGACCACGAAACTGCACATCATTATATATGTCGACGCTGAGGATTCCAATACTTGCTGAGGCAACAAAGGGAGTGCCTTGAAACTGAAGAGATACGATAAAGAGGTTCTTTTCAGCGATAAACGTGCAAACTTGTGTCTTTTGGGGATTGGTCACTAATCATCTGATGCTCCTCAGGGTACCCCATGATCTGGACTCCATTATTTATGAGAACAAGGCGATGAAAGCGATAGGCCTGTAATTGGACGGATCAGAGCGTTTACCTTTTTTTGAGATCGGGGGCACAAAAGTTGCTCTTCTACGAATTTGGAATTACGCCTAGGGAGTAAGAGTACCGGAAAAGACGTGTTAGAACCGATGCCAAATCTGGAGTATACGTACACGAACCGTGTGTTGCGTAAACCGCACAACTGACATGGGGCTCTTACAGCGCAGAATGGTCGCCGGTGTGTTCTCCAGTTATCGAGTGTCGAATTGGACGCAAGAGAGTGTCTAACAGATCGGCTGCCTCCTTTGCGGCATGGGTACGTTCGAGTCGTTCTCTGTGTGCAGAGATGGAAGTGGACAGCCTTGGCAAGAGACCAGAATGCACGGGTCCCAGAAGGGAATTCTGCCTATGTGCCCTGACTTTGCCTTGGCAATGACTCTACTTCTTTTTAAGCGCGCTGGTGTTTACATCCCGGGACATTGTTGCATCAGCCCAGGCCCGGCAGCACTCCTGCTTATAGCGTGATGCTATTTTACAAGAGCGACCAAACCATGGCTGGGATATGCCTCCGTTAGGCACCACAGAAGAAGGAACAAAAAATTCCATACCCTGAATTACTAAATTAGTGACAAAATTAACAACAATGTTAGGATCGTCCGGCGAGAAGCAAACCCGCAACTAAGGGTGAGTGACTTTCCGGTGACTTTCCTAATCGGCCGACCTATAATGCCAAGCACAGTGGCACCTTGCAAAATACAACCGTCATATAGACAATGGTCCGAGGAGCAAAGAGGGGCGTCGAAGGAGACCTAATATCTATCCAGATGAGAGGTTAGCAGAAGGTCCAATAGGGAAGGTACACGATTCTTCACATCTGGAATCGGCGTTAGAAAAGTAACCACTTGTGTTAGACTATGTCAAGGCAAAATCATAAACAGATCTCCCCGCATGATCGGTTAAACATGAACCGAGCCATTCGGCGTGATGGCCGATCACCAAATCACCAAGAATCACGATCTCTGCGAATGGGATCTGCTGTAGCAAAGAGCCTATAGCTATTTGGACGTGGTCGATGATTTGGCCTGTTTCGGCATTACCGCTATAGCACTTATAGGGGCAACCGTAGACTCGCGGATGGTCGTCCTGTCGACCTGTGTCTCTGTTAGAAAGGGAGGAATTTTCCATTACCAGGGGCGCTGCTACCCTCCTGAGGTAGATTCCACTACTATGTTGATAAGGGGGGGGGAATTGGGCATTGAAACTTGGCCTTTTAATGGAGCTCAGATATTTCACGCGGGAGCCCAAGCATTGTGCAGGACGAGGAGCGAGAAGAGAGCGCAGCGCAAGCGTCATCTTGAAGTGAATTCGAGATATCAAGAACATTTTTTCATAAAATTGAAGTGATAAGCAGGTATTTATGGGTAGCAGTAGGTAGCAGTAGGTAGGCACCCATAAATAGCTGCAGCCTGTTCGCTCGTCACGCACTATGGCTAGGCGAGATAAATAGTTAGGAGGACAGTACCTACCCAGGCGGACTCCTACGCAAAAATGGAGGACCTACTACCAATAAGTGTGCATTTTTAATAAAATAAGGGCAACAAACGAGTACACACTTCACCTAATTGTAATTTGATGCTGAGACCAATAGACGTACATCTATCCTCGATTAAGAATCAAAATGCAGATGCGTCATCATCTCCGAGTACTAAGATGGAATACCTCGTTTCCAGTAAAAATTGTCTCCGGTTGTCTACACTCACTCGATTTTATGCTGCCGAAACATTAATGCTACAACCATAACATAGAACTGCAGCGTGGATTACGTATGTCAGCTAAATCACTTAGCTGATTCTATTGAAGATCAGAGTGTGGCTTTTCGCTGCACAATTACCTTAGTAGAGACTTTTTTTCTTTTGTACAACGTTCTTGTTTCTTCTATACTGTTAAATGTTTTGTGTTAATTAATTTTATACGTATTTTAACCATTTCACTGTCGAACCATTCATACTACATTCGGAGCCAGCGTTATGTGACGACCGTCGTATTTTTTATTCTTTGATTTTTATATATCTACTAGCTTTCCTAAATTGTACGAGTTCCTCCAACGGTAACAAAAAGTCCGAAGCACATGGTGACATAGCAAGCAGGCGAGAACGCACCTTAGTGAAGTGGAACTGCAGCGGGTCGTCGGTACTGAGCGTGATGCAGAGGCCACGCGCGAGGAACTCGGGCAGCGGGTTGCGGTGGTAGTTCAGGAACAGCGAGTTGTTGCTGAGCGGCGACATCGCGATGTAGATCTGCGCCAGGTAGTACAGGTACTGCAGCACTGGCACCTGATAACACCACCAAACGGGTTATTCCACTTTTTCCTTCCAACTGTCCCTCAGTGGACAAAATGGAATACTTACATTTTTTTTGGTCCTCTTTTCCCCGCTATTTATTTCTTGTTGGGACTAATTACACTGGTACAGTAGCCTCATCCACTGTACCCCACAAGAGCTAACATAAGTTTCGAGATCTTTTTAGTGTTTTTCAATTTTATAAATCTTTCAATTTAATAGAGAAAGATAATAAGATAAAGTCAAACGTATTCATTATGCAATGGCTGAATTAAAAATAATTGCGTATCTTAAAACTATTATAAAGGATAGACAATATTACGTACATTTCAAGAAATAGAACTTGAAACTTAATTTAAAAATACTTAGGCAACACTTTTTCTAGTTTATTTAATATTATACATTTAAATTTTCTTTGCAATTGTTCGCACTTTTATTGTCACAAGTTTACAAAAATACGCATAATAAAGATGATTAAAGTATGAAAAAGATTACAAATAACAATGGTACTTCGAGCCGGATCGTAATAAAATTATTGTAATGAACTCAAACATTAGAAATATATTATAAATGCAATAAAATCGTTTTTTTTTGTTTTTTTTTTATAGAAGAGGGGGCAAACGAGCATGTGGCTCACCTGATGTTAAGTGACTACCGCCGCCCATGATCAACCGCAACACCAGGGGAATTGCAGGTGCGTTGCCGGCCCTTTAGAAAGGAGTAAGCTCTTTTCTTAAAGGTCCCCAGGTCGTATCTGTCCGGAAAAATCACCGGTGGTAAATTATTCCACAGAGAGGTTGTACGCGGAAGAAAACTCCTTTTGAAACGTACAGTGGTGGACCGCCAAGCATCCAGATGGTGTGGATGGTATCGGGACGTTTGCCGTGTAGTGCGTTCACGAAATTTGGCGGCTGGGATTAATCCGAACAATTCCTCAGAGCACTCCCCGTGATAGATGCGATAAAATACGCAAAGAGATGCAACATCTCTTCGCAGCGCCAGTGAATCGAGCCGATCGGAAAGCACTCGGTCGTCGACGATTCGAGCCGCTCTGCGCTGGATGCGGTCAAGTGGAAGGAGCTGGTACTGGGGAGCCCCAGCCCAGAGATGGGAACAGTATTCCATGAGCGGCCGAACCTGCGCCTTGTAAAGTTGCAGGCGGTGTGCCGGCATGAAATACTGTCCCGCTCTGCTGTACACGCCAAGCTTTTTAGAGGCCAATTTGGCCTTCCCTTCCAAGTGACCACGAAACTGCACGTCACTCGATATGTCGACGCCGAGGATTCCGATACTGGCTGAGGCAACAAGGGGAGTGCCTTGAAACTGAGGGGATACGACAAAGGGGTTCTTTTTAGCGGTTAACGCGCAAACTTGTGTCTTCTGGGGGTTAAACTGGACTAGATTTAGTCGCCCCCAATCCGAGACTCTGTCCAGCAGAGACTCGACTTCAGACACAAGTTTGTCCCGGCACTCAGAGACGTTTTCCCGAGAAATATTGGCTCGGCCGGTGTAAAGTGCATCACCAGTGCTGTCATCTGCATAGCAATGAATGCTACGGGTTTGCAACATATCATTGATATGCAGAAGAAACAGCGTTGGCGATAGCACGCAGCCCTGTGGAACACCAGCATTAATAAGCTTGCAATCGGAGCTTGCACCGTCTACAACGACCTTGATGCTCCGATCTGCAAGAAAACTGGTGATCCAATCGCACAATTTCTCGGGAAGCCCATAGGAAGGGAGCTTCGAAAGAAGCGCTTTGTGCCAAACCCGATCGAAGGCCTTCGCAATTTACAAACTAACGGCCAATGCCTCCTCCTTGGACTCTACTGCCTCCGCCCATCTGTGAGTTAGGTAGACCAGAAGATCACCAGCTGACCTACCACGGCGAAAACCGTATTGGCGGTCACTAATCAGCTGGTGATCCTCAAGGTACCTCATGAGCTGGCAGTTTACAATGGACTCCATTGTTTTGGAGAACAAGGAGGTGATGGCGATAGGCCGGTAGTTGGACGGGTCTGAGCGGTCGCCTTTTTTAGGGATCGGGTGGACGAAAGCCATTTTACATGATTTTGGGACTACGCCTAGGGAGTAGGAGTACCGGAAAAGACGCGTTAAAACCGGTGCCAACTCTGGAGCACACGTCCTCAGCACAATTGGGGGGATTCCATCAGGCCCACTCGACTTATAGATGTCCAGGGAGAGGAGTGCTTTGCGAACCGAGCGCTGAGTGAACTGCACTTCCGGCATGGAGCACTCACACCGCGGGATGGTCGGCGGCGTACTCCCCCCGTCATCGAGAGTCGAGTTAGACGTAAAGAAAGAGCCCAGAAGATCGGCTTTCTCCTTTGCGGTGTGGGCCAGTGAGTCGTCCTCCCTGTGCAGAGATGGAAGAGATGGCTGACAGAAATTCCCCTGGACAGCCTTGGCGAGAGACCAGAATGCACGGGTTCCAGAAGGAAGACGAACTAGTCTCTCGCCAATTCTGCCTATGTGCTCTGACTTTGCCTTGGCAATAACTCTTTTGAAGGACCTAGAGGCGGAATTATACTTCTTTTTTAGAGCGCTGGTGTTTACATCCCTGGACGCGGATGCGTCAGCCCAGGCTCGGTAGCACTCCTGCTTATAGCATGATGCTATTTTACAGGAGCGACCAAACCATGGCTGAGATTTGCCTCCAATGGGCACCACAGAGGAAGGAATAAAAAGTTCCATACCCTGAAGTACCACATCAGCGACAGAATCCGCAACAACGTTGGGATCATCCGGCGAGAAGCAAACCCGCCCCCAAGGGTAGGATGCAAAGAAAGACCGCATCCCATCCCAATCGGCTGACCTATAGTGCCAAACACGGCGGCAGCCTGCAGAATGCAACCGCGATTTCAGCGTGAGTGGCACCACACTCCGGACAAGACAATGGTCCGAGGAGCCTAAAGGGGCGTCGACGGAAATCTGATATCCGTCCGGGTGAGAGGTCAGCAGAAGGTCCAACAGGGAAGGTGCACTGGAATCCGCGTAGGCGAAGTAACCAGTTGTGTCAGACCATATGCCAAGGCAAAATCATGAACAGATCTCCCCGCATGATCGGTTAAACGTGAACCGAGCCATTCGGCGTGATGGGCGTTAAAGTCGCCGAGGATCACGATCTCTGCGGAGGGGATCTGCTGTAGCAACGAATCTGCAGCCATTTGGACGTGGTCGAAGAGTCGGTCTGTTTCGGCATTACCGCTATGGGACCTATAGAGGCACCCGTAGACGCGCGGATGGTCGTCGCTGTCTACGCGTAGCCAAAGGATGGACAGGTCCGAACCTTCAAGTCTGCCGAGGCGTCGAGAACAGATGTCCTCTCTGACGTAAACGCAAACTCCAGCCCGAGGCACAAAGGAGTGTTCCAGTTTGTACCCCGGGCAGGAGAGATACGAGACATCAGCCGGAGAGGACACCTGCGTCTCGGTCAGAAAGAGCAGAGCCGGCCTCGCCGTCTCGAGATGGTAGTGGACGGCGTTTAGGTTAGAGTGAAGTCCCCTGATATTGCAGAAATTCACGGACAGCGTGGCAGGGGTCGCCTTGGTCTTGTTGCTCCGTTTGCCCCGAGCAGTTTTAGTCTTGAGCGGAATATTGCCCCCCCCCCCCCCCCCAGAATACGCGGGGCAGCCTGAGCACCCACGCTCAGAAGTGGAGAAACATGGTCGTGGATGCTCAGCGAGGGATTCTCCAGGGGTGCTGGTACCCTCCTGGGGTAGTCTATCATTTATTTCCGCTACCATGTTGATGGGGGGGGGGGATTTGGGCCTCCGGCCACCTGCACTCACCAGACGAAACGCAGAAGCAGAGCTTCCACTTCACGCCGGTATTCTGTGAGGTCGTGGTACCACCCCCGGTTTGAGCCGGCCCATACGTGCGACAGCAAAGCTGCCGCGTGGCTCTACCACTGTTAAATCGTTTATTTTAAAAGCTTAAAAAATAAAAATTAATATACGGTTAATAATCAGATTAATATTAACCTTCCTGAGCAGCAATCCATGGGAAATGTTCTCAGCTAGCATGAAACCGCATACAAGATGCTGCACAGGTCCTGCTTCACCGCAATGTGGTCGAAGCACAAAAGTGTTCAAACCTTGCTCCCTAAAACAATCAATGAGGTTTTTATAATTAGTTTGGCAAGAATCAGTACTTCACTGACTCAGTGGGTCGAATCGTTGATTTTAAATATACAGAGCTGCTTCTTGATTTACAAGAACAGAAATGTCTTCATCTGGCGACTAAGATAGGTAAGGCTCACATTATGTTTGAAAAACAAAAAAATGAAGGTAAAGCTCGCTAGTCAATTATTCAGTAGCTCTGTGGCAGATGTGGCAGAGGCTTTGGAATTCCGCTGCAATAAATTGAAAATGAAAGAGTTCGTACACTGCAGTGGTACTGTGAACTTTATTAACATTATGAGCGATGTTTTCGATTTTCTTAACAGCCACTCTATTCGTTCGCCGGGGTGGAAGAAGGCTATGTACCCCGAAAACATTGGCTTAATAAGAAAATTATTTGAAGGTGCAAGTGCCTATATAAATACTTTAAAACTTCCATCAGGACAGTTATTGGTACAGTCCAGAAGAAAAACTGGATTTCTGGGATTAATTATTGATATGAAAAGTACGTTGACGCTTTACAAACATTTGGTGAAGGGCACGCATATGTTAAAATATATCCCATTATATAAAATTAGTCAAGACCACCTCGAACTCTTCTTTTGGGCAATTAGACTCAGAGGAGGTTTTAATAACAACCCTAACGCGGCCCAATTTCGCGCATCTTACAAGAAACTCATCATAAGAGCCAAAATTCGAGAGGGCGGAGTCGGCAACTACGTTCCTTTGGAGCAGATTAATATATCAATATGCTGAAGTAAAAACAACTATTCTTATTTTTGAATTCAATGACATTATATTTAAAAAAAAGGTAGGCTAAACGCGAAGCGCTATGCGAGTGGCACATTAACACTTCGCTAATTAACCCACCTGTCATCTCTCGTGTCGAGCAAACAACGCGCAGCACCATATACTTACGAAGGCGACACTGAAAACTTCGGGAATCAAGGAAGTGACACAACATTACTATTTAAAAATGTATTTATTGCTTTTCGAAGTATTCTCCGCGAAATTTGACACATTTTTCCATACGATGGAACCAATCATTGAAGCAACCATTCCATTCGGAAGTTGGGGTCTCCAAAATGGCCATTTTGTAGGCGTCCACAGCTTCTTCAGGTGATGAAAATCTCTGTCCACGCAATTTATTCTTTATTTTAGGGAAAGTATAGAAATCATTAGGGCTTAGGTCGGGGCTGTACGGCGGATGGTCTAATAATTCTATGTTTTCTTGCTCTAAAAACTCTTTTGTTCTGTGTGCGGTGTGAGAACTCGCGATGTCGTGATGGAGGATGATGCGGCGGTTGCAGTTCTCTTTACGGAGTTCAGAAACGACCTGTGGCAAACAAATGCTAGCATACCATTCTGCATTAACCGTTCTTTGTCCCTCAAGAGGAATAGTCGTTATCATGGCCGGTTTTGGAGAGAAACGTGGCCACCATTTTTATTGCAACACAACGTGAACGAACAATTTTTGTTGGCTTTAACTCATTTTCGAACACCCAAACTCGTGACAGGTTTTTTTGTTTCGGGTTCGTACGCGTATACCCAGAATTCGTCACCTGATACGATGTTGTATACAGCATTTGAGGATCCTGCGTGGAATCTTTCGAGTTTCTGATGCACCAAGTAACGTGAGCCGCTTTTTGCTCTTCACAGAGCGAATGCGGTATCCATCGGGAAAACAACTTTTTTACACCTAATTGTTCATGCAAGAATATTTGTATTTGATTCATGGCAATGTTTAAAGTTGCCTGAATTTCGCGGTATGTCACATGTCGATCTTCCTCAATCAGCTTACGCACAGCATCAACATTTTCTTGGGTGACTGCAGTTTTTGGACCACCTTGACGGGGCTCAGCACTGAGCTTGACACGTCCACGTTGAAATTCAGCAAACCAGCGATAAATTGTGGTTTTGGATGGGGTTTCATCACCAAATGCAGAAATCATCCGGTCAACACACTGTTTTTGTGTTAAACCACTTCGAAAGTCATAATAAATCATCGCTCTTGAATTTTCTCGAGTCAATTCCATTTTCTCAACGACTAAACAAGTTTGACAAAACCTTGTGACAAGACCGAGAATTTTTTTTAAATAAATTAATGGTATTCGATTTTTAAAACCAAGGAGTTTTCAATTAAAAATATTTTAATATGACAGTAACAGTGGAAATATTCCATTCCCGATACTTTTAAGTGCAGCCTAGTATCTCAATTTCGTTACCGATAATTAAACATGGCGTCCTACTTTCACTTGTCATCTAGTTATATGTGTAACAATACAACAATTCATTATTTGTGTGTGCGTTAGCGTGCCGTTTATTATAACAATACTTATTATAGGAAACTTTATGGCTGATTGGCGCAGTGACTTAGCAATTAGTTACAACGCTGAGAGCAGCGGGTTCGAATTCCGCACGGAACAAGTTTTTGTATGGCCTACAAATGATTGCTCCGCTCTGGATGTTCGTCTTTGTAAAATTTATGTATGTAAACTGCTTCCACAATACAGGAGAAAATCCTTAATGTTTTAAAAAACAAAAAAAAATCAATTGAATAAAACTAAATTTACGGATTTTATCGCGTTTATTTCACTATTTTACTTATTTTTAATTCCCGACGTTTCGGGTGCTTTACAGCAACCATGGTCACGGGGGGGGGGGACTGAGATGTTTGACGTCCCAATGTCATAGTTAGTCCGGCTACCTTCAGTTTTTGAATATTTATTTTTTGGTCCGATTTACGCAAAACGAGCTTATAGTATCATGAAGTCTTGCAGTGGTATGCTTAGGTTTGGGTTTAATTTTGTTAATTATAGTATCCCAAGCAGGTGGCAGCACCCATCCATCTTCTCTATTGAAATTTGGATGTTTTTTAATTTCAATAGCCTCGCGTAACATCCTTGGTAGGAATCGGTGTTCTTTTGCGAGAATTTGTGTTTTATCAAATCGAATGTAATGGTGGGGACGATCTTGAACATGTTCGCAGACTGCAGACTTCCCGGAGCGTCGGTGCTTCACGTCAGCTATATGTTCTTTCACGCGGGTTCAAGACTTCATGATACTATAAGCTCGTTTTGCGTAAATCGGACCAAAATTTAATATTCAAAAACTGAAGGTAGCCGGACTAACTATGACATTGGGACGTCAAACATCTCAGTCCCCCCCCCCCGTGACCATGGTTGCTGTAAAGCACCCGAAACGTCGGGAATTAAAAATAAGTAAAAGTAGTGAAATAAACGCGATAAAATCCGTAAATTTAGTTTTATTCAATGTGTAGTGTTCGCGTAAATTTAAGAAATCAAAAAAAATCAAATAAACTAGCAAAACTGCTCACTTGCGGAAGTGGTTGAGCACGGTCATGTTGGCGTACATGTAGTAGAGGTAGTACGCGTAGGGCGGGTTCTCCTCGTCGTCCCACTGCTCGGGGATCTTCACGTCCGGGTCCAGCATCGGGTTCTCCGGCTTCGACTCGTCATCCACGCTGTCGAAGCCAACCACGTGCTGCAACCAACCAACACTAGCATTGGAACACGTTCATGCTGTTAATCACACTTCAGAATCTAGGGTTAATTGCTAAGTAAGTAAATTAGTAAGTTCAAGTTTTTTTTTTACAGATTAAGGGTAACAAAAGAGATAATGGTAAGTGGATGCTGTGGCCAACAGACATCCATCTTCATCTATCCACGATTAAGAATCAAAATGCAGATTTGTTGTCACCCCTGAGGATTAAGACACAATGCATCGTTTTCAGTAAAAAAGTTCTCTCTCTACACTCACCATACAAAACACATCAGCATTGAGCTACTATTTTACGCTGGTATTCTGTGAGAGCGTGGTCCTACCGCAGTCGAGCCGACCCATTCGTGTTATAATCATACAAATATAGCTACAACGGGGCTCTACTGCGTATACGTAATTACAGCTATGCTAGAATAAAAAAGACTAATATGCACCTAAGAACACCATTTAGTTATATAGTATACAGAGAAAATATGTAGAATAAAAATTAAAATAATATTAGATTTTAATTTGTCTATAACTAAGTGTGTAAATTTTTTATAAAACTCACGGTCAAAAATTTGTGCAGTTCAATGTTGCTGTTGGGGTCGTTGGTGACCTCAAACAGAGGCTGGAAGATGTTGCTGAGGAACTCTTGGAAGTTGTTCATGATCTTGTTCGACTTGAAGATGTCGCTGAAAGAAACGAAACACGCTTTACTACACAATCCTGTTACTTGCAATGTGATTTTCAAGTAGGTTTAAAGTAGTAGGATTTATAGAATTGAGTACTATTTATTTATTACAACCACGTACAGTAAAATATTATGCTACAAATGAAAGGATAAGCCACGCCCCCAAAACTACAATTCATTTTCAAGGTATCCTCTTAGTATTATATGAACAACCCATATCGCCTGGGTAGGATTTATTAATGAGGCGTATTTAAGATAATCATGAAAGATCATTCGTTAATTAATTTTAGATTTCACGCCTGGCTCTATCTGTTAGTCAAGTTTCAGTACAATACGCTCATTCATTCCGAAGATTAGCTCACATAAACAGACAGACACGCAAACATTTATAAAATGGTTGTTATCTCAATGACATGGAAATAAACCACTGAGTTCAATTAAAGGTACAACTCGCGGCACGAAAGTCTAGCATTGACCGTTATTGCGTATGCTGATTGGCTCTCCAGTTGCAATCCGTCCCCCGCACTGATACGACATTCGCAGCTATCCCATCCACGTTTCATTCAGCACCAGAGATATGTGCCGCGAGTTATAGTTATTTAGATATAACAGCAATAACCACAAAAAAAAACCCAAAGGGCAAAACACAAGATACTTTTTATAGGCAGATATTTCAATTTTATTTATACCTTAATATATATAAATTACTTGTCACGTTGTTTGTCCGCGATGGACTCCTAAACTAATTAACCGATTTTAATCAAATTTGCACACCGTGTGCAGTTTAGTTCAACTTGAGAGATAGGATAGTTTTTTGCCCACAATTTTTTTTTGAGAATTTAAGGATTTTTAATAGGATATGATAAATTGTCGTCGAAATGGGCAGAACAACGTCTGCCTGGCAAGCTAGTGTATATATATAGATATAAATGTATAGATAAGTGGTTAGATGTATAGGTAAATGGAGTGACGACCTGATAAGATAAGCAGATAGTCGCTGAATGCAGGCTTAGGACCGTACTTTGTACCATTCCTTAGGGAAGGCCTATATTCAGCCGTGGACTTGTGAAGGCCTGTAATGATGATGTACGTGATGAGATAAAGAGTTACTTACTATAAACGAGGTATCTGTATGAGCCAGCGTACGTTGTTGGAATGTACGTCATACTGGATGGCCCAGCGCGCCAGCTTGGCCCACTCGGTGGGGCTTTTGCCGTAGATCGACAGCCGCAGTTCCGCGTTCTGGTACTTGCTCTCTTCCAGGTCAAAAGCCACTTCCTGCCACCGGACATGAGAAATACTGTTTAATTAATTGTTTTTTTTTTATACAAATAGGGTCACAAATGAGCACACAGTCTACCTGATGGTAAGTAATACTATGGTCCATATCCATCCATCTCCGGTTAAGAATCAGTTATCCCTAAGGACTAAGATGGATTAGACTAATAGTTTTAGCACGAATGGTTCGAATCTACCGGGAAAGGACCACGCTCTCACAGAATACCAGCGTAAAATAGTAGCTTAATCCTGCTGCGTTTCTTATGGTGATTGTAGAGAACCGGAGACCCTTTTTACCGGAAACGAGGCATTCCATCTTAGACCTTATGCATGACAACGCATCAGCATATTGATTCGTAATCGAGGATGGATGTAGATGTCTATGGGCCACAGTAACCACTTACAATCAGGTGGACTGTGTGCTCGTTTGTCACCTTATCCTATAAAAAAATGAATAAATATGTAACATACACAGACTGCTAGTATTGCGATGTCCCATCAGTCTGTCAAGCCTAGTGTCGGTGGCTAGGCAAGATATTATAAATCAAGTACCTACATATCGAAATGGGGCATCAAGTTCCCTATATGGTAGTTAAACATGTGAGAGATAGATTCTTTAAAAAAAGGTTTTACAAAAGATATTAAAAAGCAATTAAGTGTATGTCATTTATGTCAGCTATCAAAAAATAGTAATATAACATATGTGGGTCCGTGCAAATCTATAGTAACAGAAAATATCGGAGACATGGTCATGGTTGACTTATATGGACCATTGGCACCAGGTACCTTTGGGCACACTTTCATATTTGTAAACAAGATTAATTTAGCAAATTTATCAAATTATATCCTTTAAAACAGTCAACAGTAAAGTCTGTTGTAATAAAAGTAAAGCATTTTATTGAGATTATAAATCTTAAAGCAGTAATGACAGTTAACGAAAAACAGTTTATAAGTAATCACTGAAAACAATCAATGAAATAATAACTCAGATCAGAATCAGAGAAATAATAACTTTAAATTTGAAACAAATATACACCATACCACAGTAGGTACCTAAAATCTTTTATACAATGGCATTGAGCTAACAGTTGAATGTAACTGGCTGAACGATGGTTCCAAAATTTTAGACCTTATACCTTAAGACCCAAGCTTTTAAATCCAATAGCGCACTACAAAAAGTGTTCAGGATTGTAAGATAATATGTTAATATTACCTTAATGATCCTTGCGAAGTATTTCCCGTTCATGTAGTTGTCGGTCTTGAGGAACACCTCCCTGAGTCTGCTCTCACCGATGGGGTTGTATTTTGCGTTGAATTTGTCGAAACGGTGGAACGTGTTCCTGTCCTGGAGTGAAAATATTTAAAAAATGTGATGAAACAAAAGTATTTTTAGTAGAAGACAGGATAAAACGAGCACGCGGCTCAACTGAATGGTAAGCGTGTACCGCTCATGAACAGCTGCAACACCAGGCAAACTCTTTGTGTAAAGCCGGCCTTTTGAAAAAAAAAGAGTAGCCTCTTAGGTTTTGTTTACTATCTCAATCTTAAAAGAAATTTTCGACTACTTAAATTAAACATAATTTTTGAATTATTTTAAACATATATACTCATGACTCTGAGACATATAGGTCTCGTCGCTACTTACCACCAGGTGGTATTGTAGTTAAGCACTGGGATATCATAGATTTAAAAAAAACGAGTGAGCCTTACAATAGCCACATGTGATGTGAAATATCTGACATTTACAACACAAAAGCTATTTGTTTTTTTTTATCAAAATTAAAAATAACGGAAATTAATCTCAAAATTTATAAAAGCTAAACTACTGAAATATTTATTCAAATAATAATTATTCATAATTACTCGCTTGCATTTTTTCTCAATGATCTGCACTTTTTCAGAAACTATTATCAACAGTAAATACATTTATTAATATAGTTTATACATATAAGTTAAGGGGAAATATAACCTCAAATGGCTTAGCAAGATCCTCCGTTATGCCGAAAGTATTGCAGCATTAATTTTGAAATAAATATTTATGGTAAAGTTGAGGATTAATGTTAAGGTTTATGTTAGACGAAAACACGATTCCGTAAAATTTTCTCGATAGAAAAAAAAAATCCAAAATTACCTCCAAACTGAACAATAAACCGCTGTTATTCATAAAATACTTCAAATAAGATCATGAAACTTTGCATACTAACTGAACTAACCATAAAGCAGTGCTTATTTTATTTACTTTTTTTAAAATATCATTATTTTCACTGTAAAAAAGAAATTACCTGAACTATCGGCGCGTAAGCTTGGTTCCTGCGGAGCGACAGGAATCGTGTTTTCGTCTAACATAAACCTTAACATTAATCCTCAACTTTACCATATATTTATTTCAAAATTAATGCTGCAATACTTTCGGCATAACGGAGGATCTTGCTAAGCCATTTGAGGTTATATTTCCCCTTAACTTATATAACAGCATTCTTTACTACCACCGCGCGCGCTCATTGGTCAAATCATATAGCGCGCGCTTCCCTGGTTTCCTGTTACACATTTCCGTCCCTTTTCTTGAAATTACTCCCCTATAGCGGGAAAGCAAGAGGAAAGTTGTTACATCAAGAAAATATTCCGTCAACCACGTAATAAGTTGACGCTGCATCGCATATGCGTAATGTATATGTACTGAATGACATTCGTAGAAGCCTATGGCACTGATATTTTACCAAAAATAAAAAAATATTGAATAAATCGTTTGAAATTTTTTTTTCAACAATTACTTTGCCCTTGAGCCTATGACCCTGCGAAATGACGAGGTCAAAGATGCCTATTATATTCACTGTTTTATTGCTGTTCGTAAAGTAGGTTGGGTGTGATTTGAATTTCGGTAGATTTCAATAAATTGGTTTATTTATTTATTTCAAAATTTTTGTTTTTATTTTTTGTAAAATATCAGTGCCGTAGGTTTCTACTCTGTTCACATGTTACACCCTATTTTCCAGACGGTAAAAAAGGTCATTCTGTATATGCGTTGTCACTCTTGAAAACTTGTAATAAGTTGTAGGAGTCTTTTTCTGCCTGCGAAGTTCATCTGGAAGGCACCACCTTACATATTCCTGCCGCCAAATACCAGCACAGTTGCACAGCTGCAGTGATCCGGTTTGAAGGGTACAGAGAGCCAGTACGAATATAGGCTGTGAGGCCTATAGTGGATTTTGGAGGAGTGCATGGCTTTAAAGATATCCTCATACATTTCCTCCATTTCCTCATCGGGATGTGCCATGGTTGGTGCGTAAACATGTATGATCTTCAGAGAATACCGTTTGGTGATTCTGAGTATAAGGTACGCAACCATAGTTAACACTCTCCCTGTCTTTGCAACGTTGTGAATGAAAGACTTGTGGACAACAAAGCCGACACCTCCTTGGGACGGATGGTCGCCCTCCCGGTGAAAGAACAAGTTGCCAGGTTCGAGGATTACCGTGTTCTCCATCTCTCTTCGGACCTTAGATAATCCTATAATATCCCAGCGCAACTTTTCTATCTATTCTTCCCGGTCCAGGATCTTCTAGTAAGTCCTCAGGGTGCGTGCTTTATATGCATTCCATCTTAGTCCTCAGAGGTGACAAGGCGTCATTACCATATTCTTACTCTTTATTTGGCTGCAGGTGTCCATGGACTGCAGTGACTACTTACCATCAGGTGGAATGCAAGTTCGCTTGTCACTTGCTGTGTGAGTATTGTCGCTCCCTCGTCGAGCCGACCCATTTGTGCTGCAGTGGGGTTCAATTCCGTTTTTATTAATTATCATTAGATGTGGTAGCTTTAATAGCATACCGAGTTCCATCTCATCGGTACCAATGAAATCATTTATTAGTACTATTTACCACGTGCTCAGTGGTAAAGGAAAATATCGTGAGGAAACCTATATTTGTTGTAGATACTTCAAGTAACAGATTTTCTTATAGAAAAAGGGTGACAAACGAGCACACAGTCCACCTGATGGTAAGTGAATACTGTGGCCCATAGACATCTACATCTATCCTCGATCACGAATCAAAATGCAGATGCGTTTTCACCCCTGAAAACTAAAATGAATGCCTCGTTTCCAGGAATCTGCGCCGCGGAGTCGTCAATACCATTAAGTATATTTAAAGTTTTTAGTCATATACAAAAACGTGTAACTCACCGCATGTACGTCGAGCATGTCCACCGTGAGGTCGTACGTGCTCAGGTTCATGCTTTGGAATACCGCCTTCAGCGTCATTGGAGTTCCCTTGTGCAGGGTCACCACCTGGGAATCATATTGCACACGTGCTTCAACGACGTTTTCTTCATTCTCGTTACACCAGATCACAACTCCACAGGTGAACATAAACCTTCACCAAGGTATGCCACAAAACACGGTCCTGAGCCACCTGCATCTATTAATTTCCTGCATGTCTTACCAAATCGTCACTTCATCTAATGGGGGGCCACGGCCACCCTACATTTTACTTACCGGTACTAGGCTGCCACTCGTAAACCTTTCTTCCCTATCGGTTGTCGGTTCTTTGAGCAATATGGTCTTTTTAACACACTTTTATTAGCTTGACCTGTATGTTAACCTTAACCCTAGTCGTTATTTGTGAGGTTATTAGGAGCTATCTACTTGTTATTAAAAAGATATATCAACTAATAAAAAATCTATTAAATTTCTATACACTCTCGATTCCATAATAGCCAATTCCAATTTTTTTTAAATACTTGATGAATCTTCCTACAACTAAACCACAGAAATGCGAAATAATTATTGATAACACCATCTCTTCATTAAGTAAGTATTATTTTATTTTGCGATTAACACTAATAGATAGGCAATTCATTAATGAACATTTTGATCTTTTTAATTTTTTCAAAGGACAAAATTACGATTTTATAAAGACAATATTTTAAAGTTTTGGCGTATTTCTACGGCGATGAATTGTCGCGAGAGCGCGTGGACTGTATAGGACCGAACGCTTAAGGTCCTTCGCTAGTAGCATATCAAAATTCACTGTTGAACATATTATGGCCTCACCGTAAACTCGTAAGGGGGATATTTTGCTTAGTTGTTGTGTTGTGTGCAGGCAGGCGTGCACAATACAGCACAACACACACAAAACGATCCATTACGCAGTAAACTTGTATGTGTGTGTACCACTGACCTCTATATATATACAGGTACGCTGGACTGGCTATATCATACAAAATATCTGTGCCAATTTAAAGCGCCACTATTTGCTGTCTTGAGAACTAATATTGACATAATATGCCAAAGTCAGTTGTCTTATTTAAATTGTTTTATTTAAAAAATCTGTATTTTGAACTTTTAAACTAAAAAAGAAAGTATTTTATGTTGTTTCATTGTGTATAATTTTAGTTACATAATAAGAATTATTTTTAATAATAATGAGAGTGTGCATAATCTGTAAAACTCGTTACCAAAAGGGACGCGGTATAACATTCCACAAGTAAGTGAATTTACAGCTAATACGAGTATAAAACAAATTAAAGCTATTTTATAGTATAGGTACTTAAAAATTTGTTACTAATCTTAATATCATAATTACAAACATGTTTGACTGTATATTACTTAGTTTTAATAAATAATATAAAATAGAGTTGTCGAGTTCCTTGTCTTTATTACCTATCGATGTTTTTTCCTACCCATATATGTTAACAAACAAAGTCGCTAACAACAGATAATTATCAAATGTTTATTAATTAACAGGTTTCCTATGGAACCTAGACTAAAGTTATGGCTTAAAAGCATAAATATTGTGAATTGTTCGAATCAAAATGATCATCTTTGTTCTAAACATTTCACAAACGACTGTTTAACCTTTAAGTAGTGATGTGGTTTGGATGACTCATAAATGGTGATGTGGCGTTTTATAGACGTCTACGCAATTTATGCCAATAGTATGAACTTATTTAATAATTAGACATTTTTTGTATAACATCGAAATAAAAACCCTCTTTTTAATGATATAGGCTAAAATTAAACCCACTTTAAGCATTTATTAGGACATTTGGCAAAAGTTACGAAAAAATCACATTCTATAAAAGACGCACTTCTTAAGTGTTATGAAATAAACAAACAGACTTATTTTTTAACAAAAAATAAAATTTCTTACTTCTTCAACTTAATTACTAAAATAATATAGGAACCACCATAGAATCAGTCTTCTAAATTCAGTCTCAGTCAGTACAGTCGCTGCAGATTGTTTTGGAACAGCCTAAGCATATAGGCTTATGACATGCAACGCATTTGTACCTTGTGCGTCGCTTCAGCCTCGCTGGACACAACTTACAAGTCTTTTTGTCATTTTCACCAACAGCTGACTCAATGCGGCTAGGTTCTGGCGGTAAATCTTCGCTAAGAATCCGTTTCATTGTCAGTCTTATATTCAATTATTTTGTCAGTAATATCGTCATCCATAAAATGTCTCCACAAGGTTTCTAGGTTGGTGAATGCTCTAGGCTGTGATCTAGGTATGTCAACCAAGTTGTGGCTTAGTGAACGACAGTTACGCATCACTGGTTCAACGTTTCACCATTTAAAGCCATTCTTACCTATGTAGTATCTTTGGGATTCTGTGTGTATATTATCTTGTATTGAAGATAGACCTGAATCTTGCATCGCAACTGAACTGCGGGGTGATCTTTGTCGTTGAGATTGAGTTTCTTCATCCTCAGAATGTTCTGAAGCCGAGTCATGATCACTGTGCAAACAGAAATCTGGATCCACTTCTTCATCATCCACATCACTGAAGTCTCGCTCCAACTCAGCCTTTATCCACTGACTTAAGGTCTTTTCATTTGTCGAAGTATTTAGAGCTACTCGTTTTCGCTTTCGACTGTTTCCTGAAGGTCCAGGTTGATCCATCTAAAATAATAACGTACATAGTGAGGTGACGAATAAGAGACACTTAGAAAAAAATACACAAATATTGTAGTGACGTCTAATAAATCATTTACGCAAATACTGACCTCACGTCTCAGGGGCACCAAACGGTCGTACAGGTACAGGTGTTGCTGCCACGAGCGCGAGCACTCGACTGACCGATCACGCCACCTAAACCCGAAGGTAGCGGGAGGGGCGGGAGCGTCTTTTAAAAAATTAACGCCACGAGACTGATTTTTGCATCGAGGCCGTCTGCGAGACACCCACGTCACTACTTAAAGGTTAATTAGACATGAGAACCGCACTACTATGGAGAAGTGTAGTATACCAACAATATTTTCTAGTAGTACCAGAACTTTTAAGTATAAAAGTATTAGATTATTATTTCGAATGTTTTTTTTATTTCTTCTCTTCTCATTTTCCACCAAACTTAAGGGACATAGCCAAGTGTAGAAAGGTGCGACTAGAGAAGATTCCTCTCCTTGTACCGCTGTAGTCGAAATGGAGTCGTAAGGGAGGAGGAGTGTTGAAATAGCGATTAGCGATGCGCCATGCTATCCTCCACGACTTTGGTGAGGCTGCACCACTAAAAGCTTACAAGGGCTCGTTTTTTCCTGGCGCCATTCACATATCGGGCTCGGGGAGTCCGTAGTGCAGGTGAAGTTAGAAATCGCAAAGGGCAGTGTGCCCTGTGTTTCTGATGCGCCTTATCTGAGAAGGAAAACGGGGAGGAGAAGTCGGCAAATAAGGAGGGTCTGCCATTGGGCGGCTGGCGCTGGTGGAGCCATGGATATGCCTGAAAGCGTTTCCGTGGCCCTGCCAATTTGGGGGGAAGTAGAACACCATGGGGGTTTAATATTTAGTAAGTGCGAGTCTAGAGATTTAATTCTCTCTCGGGTCTCGAGATTCAATTTGTGCTTTAACTTCGTAGTGGCCCTACTTTAGTTTTTATCTTATTTAAAAATTCTGGGCATCGTTTACATTCCCGGTTTTTGGCAAATTCCTCTTGTGCAACTTCCACCGACAAAGGCAATCAAGTGTTCGATCAAGAACCCATGGATTGCAATATGTCAAGCCCCCCAGAATACGTGGAACTGCCGAAGCTGGAAAGCTTAGGAGCTAGTGCAATATGAACCGACAAAGGTGATCCGGATTTTGATCTCGAAACCATGGAAGTCGGTACGTTGCTGCCTCCGGAATACATGGAGCTGTCCGAGATTGAGAGCCTGGGAAGTGATTCTTCTTTTTTATGTTGGTATCTTGATTTATATTAATAGCAAACCGTGGAAAATGTGATGCGTAGTTTTCTTGATTGTTGCGAAATGGTTGTTTATCAATATTAATTTGGTATATAGGTCGGAACACAAGTTGCTACCGGAAACAGACTGTCACTTCAAAGAAAGTTTGGTGTATTTCTGAAGTCTGTGATAATATCAAGAATCGTTATGAATAATCCCCTAGATCATCCAAAATGGCACTGGAACGAGTTCAGAAATCTTTGAGAATCACGAGTTCGTGTAAACGTTTTATCACAACATGCGAAACGATTAAAGGTCAGCATCACTTGTTTAAGAAATGTAATTATTGAATTAAAGAGAAGAAATTTAATTAACGATGTTGTGTGAGTTACAGTCTTGTACCGGTAGAAGAAGTGTAGGGCGGCTCTCCACTAGATGGAGTTAAGACCTGGTAAGACATACAAGAAGTTGATGGATGCATGTGGCTCAGGACCGTGCTTTGTGGCATTCCTTGGGGGAGGCCTAAGTTCAGCAGTTAGTGAAATTGTGAAGGGCTGTAGTGATGATGAATTATGATGGCATTATATTAATATGATGCATAAATAGAACGGACGTTACGGGTAGAAACGTCCATTCTATTTATTTAGGTATAGGTAGGTTATGAAATTTTTATCAATATATTTTGTCACACTGTCTTATCCCTATTATTAGTTCCGTGGACGTTCACTTCTGCTGTCAGCGCCAAAATGGCGCAAATCAAATCGCCTCATCATGTCACGGTGTATAGCCAGTCCAGCGTATTTGTATATATAGAGGTCAGTGGTGTGTACATAATCTTAAATTTTGCGGATGTATTACAAACCCATAACAATATAGGTAATAATTTAACGACTACGATCCAGCATCTCACAGGATCATCACAGATCACGTGCGTACTTATACATTTTGTTTTTCTTAAATCTCTTGTTAAATTTGACAATTTAAAGTATTAAAACTATGAGTGAGTCCGTTATCGTGCTGATATTTCACGCTGATATTTTATGCGCGAGTGGTTCTTGCCCGATCGAAATGTCTTGACTAAACAGGAGAATCTATCATCTCATTTCATCCCGTGGATGTCGTAAGAGACGACTGTGGGAAAATTCCAGAAAGTCTTATGGTTTCTGACTGATGTCGGTATAACCTCATACGTCAGCAGTAACGTTAGATGTGCGAGATATCTGGTACTGCAATATTGCGTGAGCAATAAAACAAATCCTAAATTAGAGAGGGACACGCCAACAAGAAGAAAAGACACGTATTATTGCCGTAACACAGCTGCAGCGAAGCGCTACCATTTAAAAAACTATAATATATGAGATAACTTACCTCATCCGCGTGGTTCTTCAGCGTCTTCTTAATGAAGCGCAGCAGGTGTTTCTGGTTCATACACGAAGCGGCGTGGATGTGTGTGTCCACTTTCCTTAAAGAATTAAAAGAATGGTGAGAAAAATTACAAGAGACAAGTAAATCCGCGAGTGTTGTGTGTGTTGTGTTGTGAAGGAGATGCAAGCAGTAAAGGCTCAGAGCCGTGGCGAACACCGCAGAGATTAGGGTCGCAGGTGTTAATAAAAACTTATATAACAAAACTTATGCAAAAATAATAAACCTTTTTCTTTTACCTTAAGACGACACATCGAAAGTGACTCCAGGCTATCGCCGTACTGATTCGAGTGAATACATAATTTCTATAAGAACTTGAAAAAACGCCGTCATAAGGTCTAAAATTGCGCAGCGCCCGCGACGAATAAAACCGATTAGAAATTGTGAGAATCTTAAAATATTTTTTGTAAAATTATTGATTTAAGTAATCAAAATAATGAGCAAGTTAATTATTAATAACGGTGTTATGAATATATTTGAGTGATTCCCAAGCTAATAGATTTAGTAATTTTGTTGTAATTTCAACTATAGTGATATTTTAGGGGTGTTTTCGCAAATAATTATGATCGAGTCAAAATTATACAATCGTGTTTTTGAGCAAGAAAATTCAAGATAAAGACATGAATTTACCTATATCAAAATTCCACTTTCGTTAGTGGTGTCATAGTTCTATAGTATTCGATGAAACGAGGTGAATTTTTTTGCGGTGTCGCCTTAATAACTACCTAAGTTCTTAAACTAATGTAAATGTACCTATGTATATATTTTTGTAATTATTTTGAGTTTTTAATTAACCTTAATAACTAAGTTCTTAAACTAATGTAAGTATACCTAAGTAATTTTGAGTCGGCGCCAAACAAGCAAATTCATAAAGCGTGATGCGCGGCACGACACGCCCCTTTGCCGGAAAATGCCGAGCTTTCACGAAGTTAATCTCAGCAAGACAACCCGAACGGGTACGCACGTGAGGACGGCAATCGTTATAATCGTTGTATTTTTTTAAAATGTCAACTATAGTCAACCAAATCTAAGAAATACATTTTGACAGCTGTCAGACTTATTGCACCACACAATTGCACCAAAAACTTTGATTATTTAGAGAGATTATTTACAGTTGGTAATCATTTAGTTTGGTTTGAATAATACCAGAATAAATTAAAAACGGATAATTTAAAACACAAGATTTATCAGTTTCTTCGTATTTGTTGTAACTGCTTATTTCTAGAGGCACAGTTTTAAAAATTTAAGATTGAAACTAGATTAAAAATAAATTTAGCCAATCACTTTCAGAAAAACGTGCAGATATGTCGTTGTTTATATTAATGTCTCTTTCAAAGTCATCCACAATCAATTTTTTTTCAACCACTTTTGCCCAATCATCCTTTGTGACATGGGAACATGCTTCAACGATTTTTTAAGGCATTGGGTGACAAACGAGCACACAGTCCACCTGATGGTAAGTGGATGCTATGGCCCATAGACATACATATTTATTCTCACTAAGAATCAAAATGCAAATGCGTTGTCACCCCAGAGGATTAAGATGGAATGCCTCGATTCCAGTAAAGTGTCCGGTTCTCTACACTCATCATATAAAACACAGCAGTATTACGCTACTATTTTACGCTGGTATTCTGTGAGAGCGTGGTCCTGCCCCGGTTGAGCCGACCCATTCGTGCTACAACTATAATAATAGATGTAGCGTGGCTCTATCACGTACAAAAGGTTATTATAGAAGAAACAGTCCAAAAAGTTAAAGCCGAGTCACAGTCCAAAAAATTAAACACGAGCTCTCGAAACAGAAACTTTTTTATTCAATATAGATTATGAATAATACTTACTTATTGAAAGTCACTTTTTTCATTTACCACTGGTTCACAAAAAAAACCTCTGTGCTGGGAAGAACCAGCGAAAAACCCAACGGGACTAGTTTAAAAAAAAAATAAGAGCTTACAATCATGCGTGTTACAATTAACAACTCAAAACAAATTAGAAATAGCTTGGTGGTGATCACCCTTCCCAGGAGTTATTATCATCCATAAGTTCCTTAATATGAAAATAACCCTTTTTATACAAACTTAGTTTAATAAAGTTTTTAAACTTTGTGTACTTACGTCAAATTTTGTATAATTTCTCTGATTTTGTTGTAAAAACGTATACATCGCCCCAAGAATGAATTACTGACTCTGTGGAGTCGAATAACTGGTACCGAAATGGCGCGATATTAAAATTATGTAGTTGATATTTTAACACGGCCTTGTATATGAGTTTTTTTGTCTACACAAATTTACTTTGACAAAGTAAAAAAAAATAAACTTAAGGAATTTTGAAAATAAAAATTAAATTAAACAAATAATACATTAAAAAATAATGATTCGATTATTTGAAAATGTTTACCGATTATTTGAATATTTTGCCGATAATTCGCATAAAAACCGATTTTAATGACCCAAACACTATGGTAATATACATAGCGACATGTCATTGAAACGACATCAAGCAAAAAAAGTTAATACTGGTTATTTTTAAATATTTTGCTTTGTTTGAAAAATTCAAATTTACATTAACGTGATAAAAAACTATACACGTTGTAATGAAATATAGATAAATTCATAATTCTTCGGATTTACGTAAAAAGTTATTTTAAATAGTGTGAGTACGCTTGTGCAAAGTTATTGCGGAATGATTAATGTGAAACGTCAAAAGGTATTTCTTTGATTATTTTTTATTATTATTTTAGATTTGGTTGACTATAAATACTTGTTATTTATTTGGCCTACAAATAATTGTTCTGTACTCAATTTATGTTATGCAAACTGTCTCACACAGGAGAAAATCCTCGTAGAGGTTTAACTTTAAAAAAGCTACATTCTGGAAAAGTTGTGTAGGTATACCTGATGTTATAAAAATCCCTGTGGGGGACTGCCTTCTGCGAGGCCAGCTCGCGCAACTCGTTGAGCAGCACGTGAAGCTGGAACTTCGACGACAAGTAGCTCAGTCGCCGGTAGCAGAACGACTTGCTGTAAACGAAAAATTTTTCTTGAAATTATCAAATAAATAAAGAAATCTTCTTATTATGCTTCTATCTTATATTGCGGTTGCATTTTTTTTTATAGAATAAGGGTGACAAACGAGCACACAATCCACCTGATGGTAAGTGAACGCTGTTGCTCATAGACACTAAGATGGAAAGCTTCGTTTCCAGTAAAAAAAAGGCATCCGGATTACTACACTCACCATACGAAACACAGCAGCATAAAGCTGCTATTTTACGCTGGTATTCTGTGAGAGCGTGATCCTTCTTCGGTCGAGCCGACCCATTCGTGCTACAACCATAACATAGCTGCAACGTGGCTCTACCACGTATAAAGCATCACGGATCGGTCGGAAAAGGACCAAGCTCTCACAGAACTGCTGCGTTTCGTATGGTGAGTGTATAGGATTGGAGACCTTTCTTATTGGTAACGAGACATTCCATTTCGGTCTATGTGTCACCCTGCATCAGCATTTTGATTCTAAATATCGATAGATGTAGATGTCTATGGCAGCATCCACTTACCATCAGGTGAACTGTGTGCTCAGCTGTCACCTTTATTCTATAAAGACAATAGGCGTTATTAACATCACTTCAGTTAACTTGTTTAAGACTTTTGGACTTACAGCGGTCCATCCGCGATCATGTTGCACATGGTGTTCATGTCCTGTATATACTGCGTGAGGGTTATGTACTTATAAGGCACCCTACTTTCCACGCCGCCCTCCTGTCGGTACAAATTGAATACGCCGCGATCCGATTTGATAGTGTAGCCTTTTGCATCTGGATTTGGACACTCCCATGGATCCTTATTTTCCTTGAAAGGCGGATGGACAATGTGATCTAGAATTAAGAAAAATATCAAATTATATTACATATCTTAGTGTAATTATTTGTTATTATATAATTAATTGTAAAATTATCCCCTCACTAGATGGAGTGACGACCTAGTAAGACATGCAGGAAGTCGATGGATGCAGGTGGGGCTCAGGACCGTGCTTTGTGGTATTCCTTGGAGGAGGCCTATGTTCAGCAGTGGACTTGTGAAAGGCTGTAATGATGATGAATTAATTATTAGAGTAGGACCTACCCAAAAGCTGCTAGGTGGCCTAGTTGCCTTTGACTCAGTGGACAGATGATGCCTATGACTGACTGCCTGTTTGGTCTAGTGGTAGTAAACGTGACAAATGATCTGGACGTCCCAATTTCGATTCCCGGGTCGGATCAAAATCATTTATTTGGTTTTTCTGACTAGGAATGCTCAGTATCAGGGCGGAGTCAGGAAATTGGCGGTGTTTCATACCCGTGCCTCGGAAGATATTTAAAGCCGTTAATCATGCGCCGGATCTCTTCTCTCTGTGTCGCATTACTGTCTCATCGGAATATGAAAATGAGGAAGTAGAGAATGCACCTTTGATTGCGCATACACTCGTGCACTATAATTCTATCCAACGCATATCGCTATTCTCCGTTGAAACCGGAAGCCGAGACCGAAGTTCGGTCTGGAGAACATCATAACAGGTCCGATATAAAGTTAAGTCGTTCCATCTCTCTTTCCAATGGAAAAAGAGATACTGACAAACTACTTCCACTCTTTTTCTGTGCGCTACAACACCCACCCCTGCAATAAAAATGTGGATGTCTTCACGGTACGAGTGAAGACGCGTGAATAGTGTGCTAAACTGTCTTAGATTACATCACCACTTACCATCAAGTGGAATAGTAGTAAAGCTTCTTCTTTGTCATCAACCCGTAAATTTTATGGACTTTAAGACCGCAGCGGGACATGAGCCTGGGACTTGCTTTACTAGCTTGACTTACTTAGCCGGCGGTTTGACATTCACAGTATGAGATGTCTCGCACCTTGGACGCTGCAGTAAAGTGCGGATGATAAACAACACGATCGAGCCATGCTGTAGCTATATTATGGTTATAGCACAAACGGGTCTGCTCAACCGGGGATGGACCTCGCCTCTCACAGAATACCAGCATAAAATAGCAGCTCGATGCTGCTTTATTTCGCATGGTGAGTGTAGAGAACCGGAGACCCCAGTTATAGGAAACAAGGCATTCCATCTTAGACTTCATGGGTGGCAACGCATCTACATTTTGATTCTTAATCGAGGATAGACTTAGACGTCTATGGGCCACATCATCCACTTATTATCAGGTAGACTGTGTTGTTTGTTACCCTTATTCTAAACAAATCCAAAAGTTCAAACCCCTGGGTTTTCCCCCCACCCCCCCCCCAACCCCCCCCCGGATTCCCCCATAAAAAAAATTTCCCAAAAAAACCCTAAAAATTTCCACTTTTCATATTTTTTTATTTTTTTTAAAAGAAAAAAAGTAGAGGGGGGAAAATCTTTTTGGGTTTTTTAAAAAAAAAAAAAATAAATCAAAACCCCCAAGGGGGCCCCCCAAAAAATTCCATTTTTATTTCCTTTGAAACAACCACCCAAAAAAAAAAAAAAACTGTAAGAGTTACTTTACTCTATCTAGTAAAAATAACTAAAATCCCACCAGCGATGTGGCTCTTAGGCACTTTGACGGTGGGTAGGTGGTTTTGCGGCGCGTCCGCCTCCATGTTCCTCACGAAGCGCGCGGTGATCGTGGAGTAGCTCTGCTGCGACATCTCCATGTAACGTTTGCGGATTTCCAGCGCCTGCACCAGGTACGACGACGCCTGCTGGAGATCCTCAAGAGGCACCTGCGAAAGACGCGCTCGACGTAACTACGGGGACAATAGGGGGAAACATATCAAACAATAATACACTATTTTTCTACGTAGTAAAGACACGTTGCAGCCGTACTTTACTTTTCAACTGACTTCAAAAAAGGAGGAGGTTGTCACTTCGACTTTTTTATGTGTATTACTTCAGAACTTTCAGATTTTGATGATTATTTGAAAGTTGGTGCTTCTCATGTGGTTCCATATAAATTTGATCAAGATCTGACCAGTAGTTTTTGAGTTATCCTTAATAATTCGTATTTTATTGACTTCGACTACTTAATTTAATGATGTTCTCATTTTATTTATATTGAAGTCGGTTGTACATTTTTTTTAATTTTACCACTTGTTGACTGTGTTTTGTATTCGGATGTTATAAAATTAACATAAGGTTAAATGTTATATAACAAAAATATATGTTATATAATAATAATAAATAGATTTTCGGAAAATAATGTCTGTTTTTAGCAAGTGTTTAAAGTGCGCTTTCATCTTACCCCAGATGTATCCTCGCCGCTAATGGCGACCCTCTGAAAATGTGGGAGCACTATGTCCACCTCGTCGTCGTCCGGGATGCGTAAGCGCACAGCTTCCTCTAAGGCTCCGCCAGCCTCGCTGCCCGCGAATGAACGTACCGACTGAGCGCATTCTGCTGCCCTGGTGACAATACGACCTCTTTAAAAAAAATATTAAAAACAAGCCCTCCTTCAATTTTTGAAAAGGTCCTGAAGCACCGTTAAGAACCGTGCTGCTCAGTGCGTTGGCGGAATTTAGATTTGTGAAATAAATAATAGAGTATCCTCTTGTGAAATAAATGAAATTATTATCGAAATTTGGTGACGGCAGCCCGTCTCAACGGAGAAAAAAATCTTTTTAATTTTTCCATTCATAACTAAACGACTAAAAAACGTGATGCAACCAGTGTTGTGTTACATTTTGAAAAATAAGAAACCCAAATCTTTCATCTCAGGCCGCGAAGGTCTACGTTCTAAGGTTCTAAGGTCTACGCGTCTATAGCCTTTTGATGGAGGTTGATTGCAGGTGTTGGTTTAGCGTAATATAGCAGCATAATGCCGCTGTGTATGGTGAGTGCATAGAATAACAAAGAAAGGTACAAACTACTTTGCTGGTTGCAAATGTATGTTAGTGTGAGTGTGTGTATTCTAACAGTAAGTTTGGCACGGTTTCTGCGTCGTTAGTACTGGACGTAATATTTCAGTTTATGTCACCTTTTTTATTGTATTGGGTGAATAACGAACACACAGTCTACCTGATGGTAAGTGAATGCTGTGGCCCATAGACATAAACATTTATCTTTAAGTAAGGATCAAAATTCAAATGCGTTGTCACCCCTGAGGACTAAAAAGAAATGCCTCGATTCCAGTAAAAAGGGTCACCGGTTCTCTACACTCACTATAGGAAACACAGCAGCATTACGCTGCTATTTTACGCTGGTATTCTGTGAGAGCGTGGTACTGCTCTGGTGGAGTCGACCCATTCGTGCTAAACCTATAATATAGCTGTCTCTACCACGTAAGACCTTTCCAATTAACCCAAAAAATAATTATAACCATTGATGTGCAACTGACATGTGTTTAGCAACCGCTGTATAGAACTGTAACTTATATAACTGGATTCTTCTGTCAATGCATTAACTATAATACAAAGCACAATAGCAGTTTCTGAAGGATGCAACGTGTGGTCATAAATACATTTTATACTAGTCGACTTTATCATAGAATACTATAAATGGACTTTATTACCGTGAGTAAAAAGTTCGCCACCCGTCACGTTCTGTCTCCCAGAGAGGCGAAAAGTGGATTGCAGAGGCCCGTCTGGCTACGTTGAATGTATGTGGGGCAATGAATGATAAAATGGATGAAGTATGCGATATGATGTATGATAGAGGAATAGATGTATTATGTGTAAATGAGACGAAAAGGAAGGGGAAGGATGTCACTGCACATGGCATGTATACCGCATACTGGTCTGGTGTAGACGAGATCGAGCGGGCATGCCAGGGAGTAGGTATCATCCTTTCAGAAAGAATGGGCCAATGTGTGAAAGAGTATGAATGTGTAAGCCCAAGACTGCTATGGATACGAATGAAAGTGGGCTTAAAGAAGTTGTTTGTGTTAGGGGTCTACGCCCCAGACATGTCTAAGCCCACTTATATCCGGGAGCAGTTTTGGGAAATGGTAAGGATGGTGTTAATGAAGTGTAAGGGAAATGAAAATATTATTATGCTAGGAGATTTTAATGGAAGGGTTGGGGTGAGGAGGCTTGGTTATGAAAGGGTATTGGGAACGTTTGGTGATGAAAGTATAAATGAGAATGGTGAAAGCCTCCTCACCGTATGCGTGGAAAGGAATCTTTTTGTGACGAACACTTTCTTTCGTCATAAGAAGATACACATGTATACTTGGGAAAGTGGTGATGATAGAAGCATGATAGATTTCATAACCGAGGATGAAAGAATGAGGAGCGCAGTGGTGGATACAAGGGTTTACCGGGGGTCCAACGTAGGGATGGACCACTACCTGGTCTTATGCCGAATTAGGGGTTTATTGAGACGTTGGCGGCATAGGACATCTGTGTCTACCACTGCGTTACAGCGTATAAGAATTGAGAGGTTACAATATGAAGATGTGAAAGACAAGTACAAATGCAGACTGAGAGAAAATATAAGTAATTGAGGATGAGTTGTGTGTGAATGAGTTAGACTTGGAGAATGTGTGGCATAATGTTAAGAAAGGTTTAGTGGATGCAGCTACCGAAGTATGTGGTGTTAGTTAGTACGTATGAAAGAAAAGACAATACGTTATGGTGGGATGATGAGGTACGTATGGAAGTTGAAGCAAAGAAGAGAGCATGGCTAGATTTACTAGCGACTAAAGCTGGTAATTCTGGCGGTAAGAATGATGAGAATGAAAGAAAAAAGGCAGAGTTTAAACGTTTAAATAAGAGAGTAAAAGAATTAGTTGAAAGGAAAAAACAAGAAAGAACGGATAGGAATGATAGAAGAATATCGGATAACTTCCAGGCAAATATTAAAATGTTCTGGAAACTCGTAAGAAATACCAGGGGACTTTCAAAACAGCCTAGATTGAATGCGATACGAGACGCGAATGGCTGTATCCTGAATGATGAAGTGTTGAGTCTAAAGAGATGGAAGGAATATTTTGAAAGCGAATTTATGAGTGAGGAGAAGTGAGAACTAAATGAAATAGAAATTCCGAAAGAAGATGAAAGAGATAGGGAGATAAGTATAGATGAAATAATGAAAGCAATGAAAAGCATGAAAGCAGGTAAGGCAGCCGGATATGATAGAGTTTCACTCGAAATGCTAAGGGCTGGAGAAGACGTGGTGGCAGGCCTGCTGTACACCTTGTTTAATTTATGTTGGGAACTAAAGCGGGTACCGGGAGACTGGTGCAAAGCCGTGATAGTCCCAATATATAAGGGAAAAGGGTCACAGCAGGACTGTAAAAACTACCGTGGTATCAGCCTTCTTAGCATTGTGGGAAAACTGTATGCTAAGGTACTAATTGAAAGAGTTATGAAAGAAACTGATGAAAAAATTTGGGATGTGCAAGCGGGATTTAGAAAGGGAATGGGGTGTACAGATCAAGTCTTTTCCATGCGCATGATCGCGGAGAAGTTTTTGGCGAAAAACCAAGAAGTTTTTTGTGCGTTCATGGACTTGGAAAAAGCTTATGACAGAGTGGACAGGGATGTGTTATGGCAAACGCTGAACGCATTTAGGTTGAGCGCTGGTTTGATACAGGCATTAAAGTCTCTGTATAGGGACTCGAGTGCTTGTGTTAGAATCAACGGGGTCTACTCGGACTGGTTTGGCATCCATAAAGGTGTCAGACAGGGCTGTGTAGCTTCCCCGTGGCTGTTCAACCTATTTATGGACAGCTGTTTGGAAAATTTGAAAGTTGAAGAATGCGGGTTAAGAATGGGTGAGTTAACCATCAAATGCCTTTTGTACGCCGATGATCAAGTCATACTTGCGTCGTCGGCGGCCGAGTTGCAAATGATGGTTACATTAATGAACAGATCATTAAAAGAAAGGGGAATGAAAGTGAACGCAAGTAAGACGAAAGTGATGGTTTTTGAAAGAGATGAAAGCAAGACGGTATGTGAAATAAGAATAGAAGGAGAGTTAATTGAGCAAGTGGATGAGTTCGTATATTTGGGATGTTTATTCAGCAGGGATGGGAGATATGATAAGGATATTGAACGACGAGTGAATGCAGGAAATAAAGTAAATGGGGCTTTACACTCTATTGTGAAAAGTCAGAATGTGTCAAAAAAAGGCACTTATGGCAATTCACAGTGCTGTATTAGTCCCTACTTTAACGTATCGTAGTGAAAGTTGGGTGTGGCAGAAGAAGCACGAGAGTAGAATAAATGCAGTAGAAATGCGGTCGCTAAGGAGTATGTTAGGGCTGAATCTGAGTGACAGGGTGAGAAACTGTGTGATAAAAGAAGAGTGTGGTTTGCAAGATGATGCGGTGACCAGGATTAAGAAAGGAATGCTTCGGTGGTTTGGTCATGTAGAAAGAATGAATGCGGAAAGACTGACAAAGCAAATATATGTTGCAGAAGTGAATGGAAGAGTCGGAAAGGGACGTCCTAGGCGGAAGTTTGTCGACCAAATTGGCGATATACTAAAAATGGGCCAAATTAAGAGTACCCTTAACCGACGAGCATGTATGCGTAGGTATATGGATGTGGAAGAGGCGAGAAAGGTATGTCAGGATCGTGCTAAATGGAAGTCTGTAGTCTCTGCCTACCCCTCTGGGTGACAGGCGTGAGTGTTTATGTTATATGTTTAAAAAGTTTGGGTGTAATAGGTGAACGAAGCAGAAACATATGGAATATGTTTTTTATAGATATTTAATTTCGAAAAAATAAAAACGCGTTTAAAAATAACGACATTGAAATCATGTGCAACCAACTTTACGCGTGACTTTAAACCTTGACACGGCCACCTTAAAAAATTAAAAATAATATAAAAATTAGGTAAAATGTTTGCTTCAAATTAGTTTTATTTACTGAAATTTAAAAAAAATCTATACTTTGTGGCTTTACGACGTGCACCTTTAAACCCCTTATAAAATATTTCTTTAAGTTACTCGACATAATATATGTAATTGGAAAAATATATAATTGACTTCATCATACAGATGCTTTCATAAGTCCGCCCATTAAGCACGCTAAATCAACTGGTACAACCCAAAGATAATATTTATTTTGTAATTTCGCCGTAGCATTTGATCACCGCCACTTGTTTACATTGCGTAATTTACTAACGCCCTTTATGTTTGCTCTTGTGAACGCAAGTAGAAATGAAATTAGAATTGCTTCACTTCATCCAAAAAAGACAGCACCGATTCTATTAAAAAATAGTTATACTTTATTATAGGATAAGGCTGACAAACGAGCACACAGTCCACCTGATGGTAAGTGGATGCTGTGGCCCATAGACATCTACATTTATCCTCGATTACGAATTAAAATGCAGATGCGTTGTCATCCGTGTCACTAAGATGGAATACAAGTAAAAAGGATATTATATTTTATTATACATATACTCATGCATTTATTTACTTATATTACTTATGTATTTTTTTATTTCTTATGGT